TCACAGAAAAGTTCGATGATTTTATCGTTTGTAGTTTTATGCAAATTAAATTAGAAAAAACTCCAAGTTTCGTTTGTTGGTAGGCGGCAGAGATTTTCAATGAGCTGCAACCGACAATAGACCAGGGGCATATTATTCTCTTAAATATTACAAATTCTGCAGAATTACCCAGATATGCCTATTGTTGTTTCATAACTTTCCCACCGGTGAGCATTATTTTTCGGGAAAAAAAAAAAAATCAAAATTACGACCTCAAGACAACTTAAATATAGGTGGGTATACATTCGCATAGACTGGTTATATATTATATTCTCTAAAAGTATTTTCGTTCGCAGCGTGATTACGAAACTACTTGTATTTCGTGCTTATGTGGCGTATACGATATTATATAGATTGAGGTATATACACATTGGACCGAAAAATAAAACGGAAAACGAGCGCTCAAACGCACGAAAGTCTTTGCACTATTCATGACCAGTGTTCAATTAAAATAATACTCGATTATTATCTACGGAAAGAAAGACACAGTTTCGCAAAATGTAAGTGATACGTCCGTTTTAAACGAATAATCGTCGAGTTTGCATTACATTATAATATTATTATTATATACCACGGCGGAGACGAATGTTGCAGGTGAGCGACTGTTGCGAGGATACACGATCCTCCTGAGTGATTTTTGACGGTTATTTAGTGGGCGATTTCTGTTAGATTGTACACCGTTTTTAAGACTCACCGTGAAGACTGTTCACATATTTATCATAATAAACGACGTTCTATATCCGTCGGAGTGGACATTCGCGGATGATAGATCAAAACAGTGCCATATAATATCTGTACCACAGAAGTAAACTAGCGCAAGTCACAAAAAGCAAATTTTACAGGAGAGACAAAACAAAATATTTGTTGCAATGGACTTACCATTGTATACTTCAAAAATATTATTATGTATTATCTGTATATATCATTTACTTATGTAAAAGCCGGACATACGTTTCTATACTCGTATCATAGTTTAGGACTTACGTTAGTATACTTCTTGCTATCTATGCATTTATTTTATATAGGACTTACGTTTTGATACCTTTAATAATATCACAAAAAGCATATTCTGATTATATAACTAACTCAAAATTTCAAAAAATGGACTTGCGTTAGTTTACTTCTGTGGTACAGATATATTGATGTTTATTACAACTGTCATATTATTATTATATTTCGTCATGTATCTTAATATTTAGTCTATTAAAACGTAATAGCTTACACGACGCAATTATTGTTATGTTGGTATAATTGTTCTTATGGTTTTTTTAAATGATTGTATTCTTACATACGCGCTACATCCGAGCGAACGATAATAATAGGTGCGGTACCTATGTCGAGTTTTTTATTTTTGAACAACAATGTGCCAATAACGTGGTGATATTATTGTAATTATCATAATTTGTCTACTTTCTTTGTATTCTTAGAAGTACACTGCAGTTGTACATGTAGGTATAATCGTATTATTTTAAATCGTTCGAGCGATAATGTGCATTGTTTGTCATAAAAATACATATTTGTTCAGAAATAATATAATATAGAAAGTTTTTTTTCCCGGGAGGAAATATTTTTTATTTTGTACAAATCATTAATTATTATCACGACGTTTAATGGGTTATTTAAATTCAGCTGAATTTTTATTACATTTCATACACTTCAATATTGTGTATAATTTCTAAAATTATTATATATATAAATATCGGTAGGTACATAATGTATGACGTGTTGGCTTAATTGCTTAACCCTCAAAACATGTTTTAGGTTAGATAATTAATTTGTAAAAATAGCGTAACATTGTATATTTTACATTGAAATAGCTGGTATGCTACTATGCAAGGATACGCCATGACGTTCTTGTTTGGTATTATGATAACGCATAATGTACAGTTTTCAATATAATTCTATATCTGATAGTAGATAAATTTTGATTGTAGTTGTCATACGCAATAAGACAGATTTACTATTTTAATGCAGTTGTCGTATATTGTATTAAATTATGGCTTGTATGTGCTGTAGACAGAGATGTGAGGCTGAAAGGTTTCAGATATTTTTAAGTGAAACTTTTCATGAAATTTGAAAAGTTTCAAGGCTATTAAAATGAAAAGTATTGAAACTTTTCAATATCAAAAAATAGATAGGTAATGTCTATGTATTAAATCATAACAGCCACTATAGATAACTGTATATCAAAACTGAGTATTTGATATGATATAGTAGACATAGATCATGTTTCCAATAACTTTTTAAAATACTTTTTGTAATTTAATAATATTATTATTTATTAAATTTATTATGTTTGTTATTATTTTTAGTCCACGTTTGGTACAGTCATAAAAGTTAATATTAGTTTCTATTGGAATATCGATAAATTACTAGGAAAATAAATAATTAAACACTGCTTCAATAAAACAAAATTATTATTAGTATTCAATGATTACCATTTAAATGCAATTAAGATGGCCAGCATCTAATAATTATTGCATTATATAAATCACTTTTAAATAACTTGATAATATTATTTGGATGTGTAGAAAAAGCTATTGAATCATATACAAAACAAATTAAAGGTAAGTACATAAAAGTGTTAAATCAAAAGTTTCAATTTTTTTGAAAAATGTCACGAAAACATGAAAAGTTTCAACCAGTCTCAGTGAAAACATGAAATTTTACATCTCTGGCTGTAGACAATGTCTAGACGGCCTGACGGCGTCCCGTACCGCATTGAAAGTATAATTAAAGAAAAACGAACATTTCATTATGTTAATTTGTTTTTAATATCATCGATAACAAAAAACATTATGGTATTACAATACCTATAACTCTTGCCTTAGCTATGGATAAATTATTATATCAAAAATGTATACAATACACTCGTTATATAGACGAGTATTAAATTGGAAGTTCTAAGGTCACACTTTCATAAGGCCTGCGGGCCAAGGAAAAACATCGTCTGCGTGTCCGACTAATATGCTTATCTGTGTAGGTAATCGAGAAAGTTATTGGCCGATCAAAGTTCATAATATATAGTATATACAGATCTGGAGTCGCACTAATAAATCTTCTCTACTTACAAATTACAATTGTTCATAAATCGAATACATTTTATAAATCATAAGTTCAGGGTTGTACAAAAAACCATCTTGTGTTTTTAAACATTCTTTATTCTTTTAAACTATTAAATCGAAGTTATTTATCACGTTTTATGATGAAACGTTTTGCTATTAAACTAAAATATACGAAAATCACGGAACCACTGACTTTCATTTATTTTAGAATCTTTTTTTGTAAGTACAAAATTACTATGTAAATATTTATCCATCTATTTATATATTATTGTAAATATATGGATAAGATTCAATTAAAAATAATATGCACACAACGGAAAAACAAAATTGACAAATTGACAAATCGAAATATAACAGTATGTACAAAAATATTATAGAATAACTGTATGAAATAAATAATAATATAAGAAACAAACTTCATCGTCCTTATAATTGGACCTTTTTAAAAAAAATAAAGAGCCGGTACATCGAATTGGAATGATTAATGTAAAATGTGATGGAAATGGAAACCGTGATAGGGCAATGCAATATAGAAGGACAATAAAATAAAATATGAATTTTATATGGTAAATATCATAATATAATATGATATAACACGCAGAAATACAATTTTTTAACTGTACGCGTTTACCAGTGTATTTAGCTCGAAGTTGAAGCCCGCCACTAACGGGAGATAGGTTGAACTTTTAGCCATTTTTGCTTGATACAATATAATGTTATCCAGTACCTACGCACTGTTATGGTGGCAAATTCACTACTCGTTATCGGTGTATAGTAATATAGAATTTAAGTATAGGTCCTTTGTACTTGCACTTTGCAGGTTAGGGTCATACGCGCGATCCTGTGTAAATTAATATTATTTTAAGTTCAAACACACGTGTACCTAAGGCGTATATCAAGGTAAATGGGTTAGGTCAGGTTAATTACAGCCTACCCGGTGGCACGAACTTTTTTAAGTCTTTGAATCAAATTGTATATATTAAATATTTTTACAACCACCCCATTACTTTTCATTACCTACATCAAAGTGAGCCATAGAGGTCTAACTCGAAACTCGGTATTATATAATAATTATAAAATTTGTGTTTAGGGCTTGAGGTCTTACGATAATACACCCACAAGGGACTGGCCACGCAATCACCCATACATATCCACCCACCCACTAGTTAGGGACATTAAGCAATTATTGTTTCAAATAGTCCTACACCCCACCACCATTGGGTATTAGTATAATAGTATAGACTCTTCTACAGTATAGCCCTATATAGGCTACAAGTTAGTATATGGAGACTTACCTAGTTACCTATAACTCGTACTTGTGTACATTGTAGCAGTCGTCGAGACGAAAGTAAAAAGGTGCAGGTTACCGTATACCCAGGTTAATATATACCTCTTCCCATGCAGCGCGCATCTATTGGCTTTTGAACTCTTTGCGGAACGGTGGTAGCCAGTATAGGAGGTACTAAAATACATTCATTAAAATCCAGGAAAAAAATGATTTAATAACGTCTGACGCGTAATAATTCGACGCGTAACACGTAATGTACATGTATAGTACAACTACTATTATGAGTGCAGTGATTTGTACACGGTAAAATATACATAAATGTACAATAAATTCACGAGAGATGGGCCGTGGGATCCGGTGTTGTGCGAACCACCTGTACACGCGTACACGTGTATGTATATATGGGTGTATAAACGCAAGGTCTCTCTCACTTTCATCTCTCTCCCTAACGTCCGAGGCGGCGGCGTCTTCAGCTTTATTATATTTCGTTTTTCCTCTCCATCGTCGCGTTTGTCCTCCTCTGCTGTCCGACGTCGCGTCCGTCGTCGTCGAACACGACCGCCTTCTTGCGCCGTCAGTTGCTGCTCATTATTATTTCCGCGACAACGATGAAGCGCAACACATGTCTGTGGGTGGTTCTCACCACTTACCTGGTCCAACAATGTAAGTCAACAATATTTTATTATTATTTTATACACGCATGTTACTATATTATTATTGATTAACAGTAAGTACTCGTTATAGTTGTAATATTATATTTACCATGTAGTATAGTTGAAATAACCCTTTGAATATTCCTTGGCGTTCGCACCGATATCATTATCCTATATGATTAATCCTAGAAATTGATTCTCGGATAGCTGTTGACTATTTCTGTAATAATAATATCTCGGATTGTAGTTCTTGCGGAAACAATGTACATTCGAATTGCAGTGGTATTTCGTTTTTTGGGAGACTTCAACACATCCCATGAAATCGAAATACCACTGTCTTTTCGTTATATTTCATAGTTCATATATTAAACCAATAAATAAATACACAGAAATACGCAGTAAATCAAGTTTCTTATCGATATTATTTTACTGGTTTGTAATGTTTTTACTTGAAAGCTTAATCTATAATTTTTTGTAAAAGTTCAAATCAATGCATAAATCATGTTTTTTAACTTTTACTGAAAAATCAAAATTAAACTAATTTACACGATGAAAAAAACTATAATCTATACTATATATGAATTTATATTGAATAAATGACTTAACATTAGAATTTAAATTTATATCAAACTCAATATTCTGTTATCTCATGGTTTATAGTTTTGTACCCGATAACATGTTGTTATTTGACCTTGTAATAAAAAAAAAATCTATTAATTATTAATACTTTTATTAACAAAGAATATTTAATACTATTATCGTGTATTTAGTTTCTTATTTCAATTATTCACAATAGAATAAAAATAATTTTAGATTAGAATGATTATTACATTTAATATGAGATATTTTATAAACCCTTTGTGAATTAGTTTAGAAAAATAAGTTACAAGTGTAGTTATTTTGAGTAAGATACGTTTGTATTTCAAAATGTTATATCAAATTGTAAAAAGTTTCGTAAGAAATGATTTAAACAAACTGCTTTATTTCCCATTAGAATATTTTAATAGGTATTTAATGCATTTTTGTTTCATTTTGGATTATCAATAAGGACGAGGTTAATTATTCTAATAAATATGTATTCACCGACGAAGGGAAATTTACCACGTTACATTTATGATAAATGCACATTGTAAATGGTTTGTGTGGGATCGGGAGCTTTATTTTTTACCTCATCCGGGTTAAGTAATACGTTTATGATGTGCAGTAATACTAGACGATTGGCCGTCTGATAATAATATGAATGTACGAAAAAAATTAAACCGGTATAGAAACTAAAATTGTTGTTATTTAACTTAAATTCATAAGTGACAAGTTGTATATGTTGTCAATTCAAAAATACTCATGTAATCCTATACAATAATAATATGTAACATGGTTACGCTTTATAATAATCATTTGACGGGTGTACAACAAAGGTACTATATTATGTTGATATACTATACTGCTGCAGCTGTACAGGTACATTTTTCGATAACAATTGATATCGACGTATTTTCGTTTTACATAAGGATACAGTTCTAAACTTCATTATTTACCGACTGTGATAAATGTAGCAGTTGGGTAATTTTTTAAAAGCCGACACCGAAGAGGCGGAACTAATAGACGTCAATAAATATGTTTTAATTTAAAATGAATTTCCGAAAACGACGTCACATAAGGTTCAAATTCCTATCAAGCATACATTTAAATGAAGTAGATAACGTTATATAAAGCGATTCCCTCTCCATAAATACAAAAACATTAAAAAATAATACCTACTAAAATAAAAAAAAGGTTAATGGTTTTAGATAACGTATTTCTAACAGCAGGTCTAAAAAAGATCATTTTGTTATTACGATCATATATAAAAATAGATATATATAATATATAAGTATTAGGTACTGCTGTTTTAGCTCGTAGTTATCAATATAATAATAAACAATACGCGGCTAAATAAAGTGCATTTGATTTCGTAGCGTTTCTTTATTAATTATACATTTTTCGTTTAAATACCATTAAGGACATATTTTCGTATACGACAACGTTCTGTCAAAGATGCAAACTTTCACTTTCGACTGGTTTCGTAAAATCGTTGCTGTACAACACATTTTTACGTCATGTTTTTAATCAAAACCGGCGATTTCCTAGATCTCGTAGGAATGCGGCGTATTCCGCATCGAGCGTATACACAATATAATAATATTATGTGTATCTTATATTGTATCAGACACATGTCACATGTCATATAGACTATACATTATATTATTTTCGTATAGATTAGATGTTAACGAACACTAGAAATCCGCTACAGTCCGCAGCTGTGCAGGTTACTACACCGTATACATAATTATATTTGATAGGTAGGTATCATAATATTGTTGAGGATACGATATCATGCCGTACACTCGCTACACCCCAAGTTTATCTGTATTTACTAGTATTTGTCGTCCAAACCTATTTTGCGATCAAATTATTTTCGAAAACTTAAAATTGCGTGCATTATACATCAACTGTATTAATCAAACAATCGATCGGGAGTTTAGCCGCACCATCAGCTGTGACACCCCCTGACACAATCGGAAATCGCATATATATTATATTATACGATCTATTTAATGTGCGCTAATATAATAATCGTATACAATGTTAATAATAACCGTCGGTGAATATACGATTGTAATGACTGGTAATATTATTATCGTAGTAATCGCAGCGGAGGCGTCAACGTCGAGCGACGACCCGAAAGTACATCATCATAATCAACACCAACTGCATATACATTATTATCGGCATCGTCCGATATTACACATCATATTATACATAATGTACTATTATCATCATCATCACACTGTCGTTGTTTTATTACGTTAACCGGCGGATTGCGAAATCCTTAGTACGAGTCCGCGAGCGCGTGTGATTGTCGAATAATCGATTGCGAAGACTTGAACAATCCGGTTTTTTTTTTTTTTAATAACGCGTTCAGCATCTTTTTCGCACGCTTGTCGTGAACGCGTTTTATTATTCGGTTTTTTACCTATTCGTTTTTTCAAATCGTCCTCGTATTGCACAACCGTGGTGAATAATGAAATATAATATATATGTATTATAATATTAATATATAGTAACTATATGTATACTAGTATTCTCATCGTGGACACATTCTCACAACATCCCTGACACACACACACACACACACACGTGTTACTCACATATATGTATATAATATTATAATATGATCGCTATGGGTTCACACGGGGGGGAATGGTAAACTCCTACAAATGTAATGTTATCTCCTACAAAAGATAGTGTTAACTCCTACAAAAGATAGTGTTAACTCCTACAAAAGATAGTGTTAACTCCTATAAAAGATAGTGTTAACTCCTACAAAAAATTAATACCGCTCGTATTGCTGTAAAAAATATCAGTCTTGCAATATATTAACACATAAAATAAAAATGGTTTGAAAAATATAATAAAAATGTTAATAAAACAATAATCATTATCATTTATGTTTAAAACAAAATTTTTAAAATATAGATAATAAAAATGTTGATAAAATAATAGTCATAATCATTTAATCCTAAAACAAAAATTATTTGAAAAATATAATAAAACAATAGTCAAAATCACATACGTTAAAAAAAAATTTTTGAAAAAAAATAATAAAAAATCCAATAAAACAATACTAATTCATAATCATTTACGTATATTTTTATGACTTGTTTTATTGTTATTCAACAATATTCGATGCCATATCGTTGATCTATTTAAAACTTTTTGTACTGCAAGTGCCGATATGAACGTATAGTATAGTATATAATATGGATATAATCTAACCTTCGAGAATTATCATACAGCGTATAAACAAGCTCTATTCAAGCATTTGTTTATTAAATAATGTATATTTATTATTTTCAAGTTATGAAAATTGTGAGCTTTTTAACTTTAAAATTGTGAATTTAAGTAATATTACCCTATTTTTTAAAGGGAAAAATTTCTAAGTAGGAGATTACAATATCTTTGATTTTCAGGTAAAAATTTTAAAAGGTTATTAGTGTAGGAGTTTACATTTAATGATGATTCAGGTAAAAAGGTTATTCGTGTAGGAGTTTACATTTGGCCCACACGGGTACGCGCGTAATAAAGTCACACACACACGTACGTCTTGCGTGGCGAAATTACGATTTTGAATAATAATAATATAATGCATAATAATAATATTATTGTGCGAATAATAATGAAGAAGTAATTAAACGAGAGACGACTGACCGCGTCGTCCTCGACCTTTTATATAATCGCACCCGCAGACCGCGAGTGGTTTTTATTTTTATTATTACACGCGTATAATACAGATGAGATGCATCGTGTACCTACCTATATTGTTATCGTTTTAATATTAATTCGTATACAACCTTGAAAACGAGCTCCGATCGAAAAAAAAAACTCCCTTGTCACATTATATTAATTGGTGATACAGGGTGTTTCACCGCGATTGATCTCGTTGTCCACACCACCAGCTCGCCAAATATGAATTTATTTCTAATCATACGCATTCATACCATGTATGTCCTGCACGTGTCAAAATATAAAAATAACAGAATGACTACTGTGTTGATGGAAAACACAAAAACGCCGGCACGGTGAGCTCAATAATGACTCGATCGTCGTAAAAGCGAGATCGTTTCGGGCTAATGGAAATGTAGTCGACTGTTAACTCCAAAAGTGCAGTTTAATATTGGTACAGCAGAAGTGCAGCGGGAGAACAGAGAGTATACACCACTATAACAACTGTAAGTGAGTTTGTATTCGATATAGCCTATAGGCGTATAATATAATAAATTTCGGTCGTCATCTCGAATTTTCTTCACAGCAAGAGTATAAGGCCGATGCAGCCGTGACATTGTCGTTTTCTAAGTTTTCTACCCGTTTACGCCGTTTATACGGTCGGTGCGCAACCGAGACGATGGTCAAGATTTCGCCGTCATGGAATACCTTTATGTAACTTTATCTTATACCCGGTTTTACTACCATATCATCATCATTACAATTATACACACGAAAATTAGACTTGGTATTCGGACGTCGTAACTTGTAGAGCCATCTTCAGACTATATGCGGCACGTGTGCATTAAAACACAATTATAATACGTTGGTACAATCGTGAAATACGTGGGAGTACTTATGTCGATTATGTCGTATTTTTCTCGGTTTATAAGACAGCGAGTGATACGCGTAATCGCGTACGCGTGCAGTAAACCGTTTAACGAGTGTAATGCAGTTGTGATTTCCGACGGGACGAGCGAAAAGGTGAAAGTTTCAAGCGCTTTGAATTTTCTTCCGATCGGCGGCGGTGGCGTCATAATCAGTGCCTCGGACGGCGCAGGAATCACAAAGAAATCGTTGTCGACTGTACCCGACAGACCTATAACCTATTATAATCTAAGCGATTTTTACGAAACGGTCGCGTTTGTGCAGACTGCAGACACTATAATATTATATCGTCGTCGTGTACTTGCACAATTCAGACGTGATCATCCCGTTGCTGTAAGGCATGTAATATTCATCTAAACATATTATTAAGCGTCACGGCGACGACCTCGACTTGGAAGACGATTTAGACTCGTACTCGTGTGGGGGCGGGGGAGGTATTGTTGTCTCTATACTCGGCAATATATATATAAGACGATTTGTCACGCACCGCGGCCGAAATTATTTCGAATTCTTTCAATTTCTCTGTGTCCGCCTTTTGTCCGCGATTATTGTCCCGGAGCTGTGTGTGCCGAAGATTCTTCGCTTTTACTAATAATAATAATACGTCGATATAGGTATACCTACAGCAATAACAATGTGATTACGACGACGACGATCGTCGTAATAACTAATATAACTGAAGCTGCGGCAATGACGATAGGTACCTAAATATATATATTTTGATACGATGAGAGCTGAGAACCATAAGATCATAATAATAGTAAAATGTTATTGTTAAAATAATTATTACCGACCGGCGGTGGCAGTGACAATAATAATAATAATAATAATAATAGTAATAATAATAAGAGCGTCGTTGTCGTAGTCTGTGACAAAAAAAAGATTATAAACAAAAAACGGCTCGCGACACGCCCTCCTCCGCCCTCGCGGCATTGTGTTCGTGTGCGCGGCGGCAGCTTTCTATTCGGTATTTTTATATATATATATATATATACATATAATACGACTTAGGTATCGTAAAACATTATTATCTAACGCGTGTACAATATAAATCTCATAACATAATGTATAGAACCATTGTGTACGCCAAGTCGACCGTTCGGGGCATACTGTTTATTATATTATGCGAAAGTTCAACGGCTTCGGATACGCGTCTGTACGTATTTCGTGTGACCCGGCGGCGGCGTAGACATCTCCCAAGTATACTGTGCACTCAGACTCCACCGCCGCCATCGCTTTCTAAACATTAAAAGGTACCGTACCTATATAATATAACGCATAGCGCAGGGGCATACGCCGTTAATACAATATACTTACATTATAATAGTCGTAATAATAATTATAACCGTTGCGCTGATAATAACACGTACATAGTGTGTATAATGTTGTGGAGGTACCTACATATAACTGTATATACTGCATAAGGTACCCATCAATGCAGTGCCTGTATCTTTATAATAGCATCCGAGTGAAATAATAATATAATATAAAGTGTATAATATACGACGGCAAGGTTAGGCTCGAGTGACGTAACCCGGTCATTTCTTCCTAAAACGAAATAAAAAAAAATCGATCACGACGCGTATAGTATTATCTCGTCGTCGTCGTCGTCGCTGCTTTCACTGCGGCATCCGAGGCGTACGTTATGCATCTAATATCTATATGTGTGTGATATTCAGATATAATACTTGGGCCGATCCTGGGAGTTGCGCTTATACTCCAGCGGCAATGTAATCGGTCGCGACGGTGTATAAAGGTCACTCGCGTGTGGATTGCGCAACGTTTGGTATGGTTGTCGTTTCGGTTTGACAAAAAAAAAAACAAAATCCGAATAGACTAACTTTATCACAGATTCTGCACTGTATGCGTTCTGATCGTGCAGTGGCAGTAAAGTATGAAGTATCTTGTGGAAACAAAAACGATGACTTTAACTTTTTAAGCCATATACAAGTAGGTTTTTTGTGCAAAAGTCACTGCCAAAACGAATAACTACAGTAGCTCTGTACTCTGAGCATCCCCTGGTCTGTAAGTCTGTTGTTGGGTTTCATCAATTCACTATTCTATCGCTATGTCGTATTTGAGATGAGGTACTGGATTATTTCCCACTCACCCAAAAGTATTTTTTCTTACACTATCGTGCTTGGCATATAAATATGTAACAAAAGTTTCTTAAGAGCCACATAGTAATATGGCCTACATAATTAAGAGATGTATACTAAACGTGAAACATTTTAAATTGCTTTTAAATGGGAACTATATATTGCTATAAATTATAATTGTTATTAAAAATTATATATGATATAATAAATGGTAATTTAATGTTTAGCGTTTAAAAAAAATCCCTTCCTATACCACCACTTGCCAAAGGAATTTTAACTTAAATACCGTATTATCGTATAACCTAGCTGGTTAATACATCATCCTTCAGGCTGTATAGTAATAATTAATTAAACGATCGGAGAATGGAATATTAATTTGTGTTCCAGATTACCATACCACAACATTTATATAACATATTGTTATCAATAGTGATCCAATATACATATTATAAATTAAACCTCTTCGACGTTTTACGCGTCAGTATAATCGCCTTCGGGCCTGTCGCATTATATTATGCGTCCACTGTTATGTAGACTTGCTATGCCATAACGAATCACTACATAATATTTTTTTTTAAATTACGTAGGTAGGCATCAAAATCGAATGTCATCGTACAACAAGTAGGTGCATATTTCCGATTTCGTAAGTTCGTTATGCGTGTGTGTGGTGTGTATAGTACGCACTGCTGCAGCCAGTGTTAAGTTATCTTATGATAATATTTTATACATTTTATTGGTTCTTATGCAAGACGCAATAATATGCCCAACGAACTGATCGATTGAACTAAGTTCGGCGAATCTTGCGCATCGGCCGTGGTCCGTGGGTGGCACAAAGTGTTATAACTTATAATACATGCACGGCTGTACACGATTGCATGAAACCGGTTAACTGTAGTCTGTTACCACAGGTTACCGGTTATTGTTACGTTATTTATTAATTATTTTATACCGAATACCACCTATAGAACGGACTAACGTTATATCGGAAATCGGTGTAATTGATTTATTGAATCTTTAAAACGCAAAAGAAATAATATATCGTAATATAATAATAGTAATAAATAACAGTTTTATAATACCTAGGTAGTTGATTTAAAACCAGAAATACTATGTCGTATTAACCGCAATGTTTCGTTTTCAGGCTCCTGTCAGCCACAACTGAAGTCATCCAACGTACAGGAAGACCCATGCAAAGCCAAAAATAAGGTGGTACCGGACGCGGCTTACTGCGACCGTTATTGGGAATGCGTGGATGGTCAGCCTGAGCTGTACGACTGTCCGAATGGTCTGGTTTACGCAGGCAAGCAGAGGGGTGTCACCGAGGGATGCGACTACCCGTGGAGGGCGGACTACTGCGAGGGCAAAACTCAAGCCAGTAAGTCCACCTACCACCCCAACAATAATACTTAATATAATAGCATCATATAGGATAATATAGCCTGCAACATAAACTACAATAGTCACGAAAGTCGCAGGTTTATACCTAAAGTTATTTAGTAAAGATATTTTGACGTGTGCGTTGGTTAGTTTATTGACAGATTCAGTGTTGTATGATTCAATACGCAAATATTATCAAATCCATTATTAATCCTTAATGTTCGTTGTTCATGTTTTTAAATGCACCTATCTATGTATATTATACATTTAATCATTAAACGTATAGGTATACCTATCATTTATTCGACGATCACCAAAACTAAGATTGAATAGGTCTTTTTTGGAAATTCAAAACGATTTGAGTAGGTATAGTTACTTTAAAAAAAGCGTAGTACCGAACGGGACGAAGTGACTGCTGCAGGGACGGTATGTTTAAATTCGAGAGGAACGAACCAAAATCAGAGTTGGCGTGATTTTCTTGATGGCGCTCGATGTTCGTTTCCACCTCACACGATCTCGTGCAATGTCACGTGTTATTACTTATCATATTATATTATAATACACGATTCACCCTACCTGTGTAATAATATATACGATCCCATTTACCGGGTCGTTACGAGCACTGTATTTCATATAATATTCGACCGGCCGGATTCGAGCCAATGGACCTCTCCATAGGTGCAGCATGAATGCGATTTAATGTTAATATATTATATCGACCATGCTACTACGTGCTATACGGGAAGTTCGTCGTCGTGTGGAGGTGAAAGTACTATTGCGCCCGAGGCGGCCGGTGGTCGCCCACCCGGGGAGGCAGGCGATCGCTGCACGAAAACCGCAATATCCACGTCAATAATATATTACCTACAATATAATAACCTAAACCTGAGCCTATTACAATGGTCAACAGACTATACACGCGTGCACGTCGTGTATTATGCTGTTACCTAAACTTTTATTATTATTACCATATAAACACGTCTGATCGCCCTGCAACATTCTTCACCCGCGACCCGTGGCTTACGACGATAATAATATTATATTATTATACCTTACGAACAGACATAATATAGCACAACTGCAGTGCCCAGCAGCATTGGATATTTGGACATCCACGTGATGATGGATTTTTTTCGACTTGCGTGCTAGCCAACGTTACTTGTTTGTTATAACTTAGCACATGATAGTGTTTTGTATATGAGTGGTATAATATCAGTTAAATTGGACAATATAATAATGTTATGTTATACCTATACTGGCTATACTTGAATTACAAATATAGATTTCGAGTTTCGAATAACGTTTGGATATTTTTCAAAATATCGATTTAAACTCTACTGAAGTTCATTATTACAACTGTAGTACATACAACAAAAAAGTAATATTATGACATTTTGAAAAAACATCCATATAATATTATGCACTTTATACCTACCTACTTAGTACTAATAAACAATCATTATTGAATGTGCTAACAGTTGTTAATACGACTGCGTAAACATTGACTATTGACACAGTAAACCACCAATGCCATCGAATTATAGTAATGTTGCGGTCAGCCGTCCAACTATATTTAACTACTTTAACTTGTCCGCCCCTTGTCTTTACATATAATATTAAGTCTGCGATTTTACCGCATAACCGATGAAGTTAAAAATGCCAACGATCAATAATAATATAACCGTACTTGTTCGCTTTCCGCAGACGGTCCAATAGCCAGGGAACACTGCGATTGGCTGTACGGCATATTCGGTCACGAGACGTCGTGCACGCGGTACTGGACTTGCTGGAACAGCACGGCCACCGAACAGCTGTGCATCGGCGGGCTGCTGTACAACGAAAAAACTCACTCCTGCGACTGGCCCGAGAACGTCGAGGGATGCCAGAAACACCGTAAGTACCTATACCAGTGACGGTATACAATATTATGATATATTAAATAATAGCCTTAGAACTACCTATATAATACGGTATTGTATATTGTATACAGTGTGATAACCAGCTGCTCTCACACGCCCGCGCTAGTTTGATAATAATCATACAGGTATAAAACTGTTGTGCGGTAAACGGTATAATAATATAAACGGCGAGACGACCGCGGTCGCGTGTCGTATACCGGGTTGGTCACATTTTCCCAGCGCGTTTTATTACGTGCACCGTACACCTACCTATATAATGCCTATCATCGAACCGTGTGTTTGGGGGATAGAGCTTTCACCGCGTCCTACTGCACACGGTTAGTCTGCCTGTGCACACGGCGATTTTGTCACGGGTGATATAATCATAATATTATGCGAGGCTAGTCGTGTTCTGCGTGTCCGGTGTCCGCTGCGCAGAACTCGATTGACGACCCCGTGTGTCCGCATAATGATAATATTCATAATTTTCATAATAATATACCCGCTTACTACCCCGTCGAAACGCTCGATCGGTGAACATTACGTCGCAATAAAATTCTCGACAAAAACAGCTGGAAAAACACAATTTTCGTCGGCCGGTTGATATTATAATATTATATAGGTCCTCGCGGTGGGTTGGCCACTAGGACTTTATGGGGAAATCATATTTTAATACCGAATTTTATACTACTGTTACGTTTAAACGCGTGAAGGTTTCCCCGATTGACGTCGTTTCGGAGAACCGAACTAATAATACCGCTTATACCGGTCTCGTACAGCAGGTACTCGTTTGCAGGTCAAGCAGCGTAGTATACGGACATTTTTTATTCAGAAAATTGTTTGCCAACTGGGAGGTAGGAAACATATTGAGATTCATGTTGACATATCCACGCAGTCATGTAATAACGATATTAAAATTGCCGCCGTTACATCACGACCGTCGAATTCGACTTTTTTTCGGTAAATATACGACGTGATGTGAGTGCGTACACCTTAGGTACCTACATTATTTCGTTATTAATTTATCATGGGATGCTAACTGAAAGAGAAATCCCGTTTTTTATATTGATTATTCGTTGCCGTGCTATACAGCATACGAGTCAACACTTGTCACTCGCCCGCTCGTTCGCACATATATACCAATCGAGTCGACCCGAATTTATTTATTGGTATGGTTATGTAATAGTCAATAGACTGCACGATTTGACATGATGTGCTTGTAAAATAGTTTTTTTTTATGCACTCGTAAGTATACCGAACGATGGGATACATCGTATTATCGCAGTTATATAACCTCCAGTTGAAGAAATAAAATCAAACGGGAAAACGAGATAAGTTTAAGACCCCTCGCATACTATAGTTGGGTCCCATATTATACATTATACATAAACATGGGCGTAATTATCTGTGGGGGCTATAATGCTATATATAGGACTAGAAAATTATAAAAACATTTAAAACTTTAATTCTAGATACCTAAAATGTAAAAAATTAAAGTTAACACCATGAGAGGGCTACAAAAGTTTCTGTGGGGGCTGTAGCCCCCATAGCCCCCATGCACACTAAGACCATCCATATATTGTTATGATATGCGTTTGTACGTTTCGTTAAAGAGTCGTTTGCGTTTCAGCTCTCTGCAACGAAGACGCCAACGGAAACGTGCCACTGGGAAAGTCATGCAACAGGTACTGGCAATGCCAGGGAGGTTACCCGAGGCTGCAGAGGTGTCCAGCCATGTTGGTGTTCGACAGGCGCACTCTGAGGTGCGTTGTGCCGCCCACCGAGGACTGCGAGGTGCCGACTACACCTGCCCCGTCGCCAGACGATTTGCCGTCCAACGAAGATGACGGTGAAGAGAACGTTCCACAACAAGCCAAGGCAACAGCCACCCCGGCGCCACAGCGCCAGCAACAGCGAAATCAGCAACAACAGCAACCGCAACAACAGCAACCGCAGCTTCATCAGAGGCAAGGTGGTCCGGCGCCGCAGAGACAACAGTTCCAGCAGCAGCAGCAGCAACAACAACCACAACAACAGCAGCAACAGTTGCCTGCCGCCACACAACAACAGCAACAGCAGGTACCCCAACAACAGTTCCAACAACAACCACGGGCTCAATTCCAGCAACCCGCGGCCAGGGCTGTTCAACAACCGCAACAACAACAGCAGCAGCAGCAGCAGCAGCAGCAGCAGCAGCAGCAACAGCAGCAACAGTTTGTTCCACAACAGCGGGCACAACCACAACAGTTCCAACTGCCGCCGTTGTCGGAACAGCAACAGCAACAGCACGCCGTGCAGAGGAGAGAAAACGGTGCAGTGGTATCGTACGGCGGCGCCGAAGACGACAACGGTGACGACGACGTCGACGTACCGGTCGCGTTTTCCGAACACTAAACACAATTATTGCACAGTACAACTAACGTCAATACACCTACACACACCTATACACACTTAGAATATCATAATATATATATAGTTCAAAACGAATATTATAGTAAATCGAAAATATTATCGAGTTCGGTTCCTCCGTCAGAAATGATTTTGTTCACGAAATCCTACAGCAAAACGTCGATTTTTCGATTTTATTTTCCGTTAGTACAAGGCGATTTTTCGAGGATAGTTGAGCAAACGTATCCGATTCGCATCGTCACGATCGTAAAAACTACGCACCAATATAATATTATATCGATTTGCCAATAGAAAATTAGATGACTGCGGTCGACAGTCCGAATACAATATATACATTTTTGCAACCCTTACACAGAGGCACTGCACATATTAGTTTAACGGAAAAAAACAACGGTAGAAGTGACTATCGACGAATCAACAATATTGACAATCATAACATATTTTCTAATCTACCTCTTTTACCCGGTCAGTTTCAAACTTTGCTCCGTCGTATACAACTCGCTCGCGGTCGGTAAACGTTTTAATAAGTCGTCTCTACAGGTGTCTTTTGTTCAAATCAATCGTCGGTCACCGTTTCGTTATACTCGTGTCGGTAAAACACAATATTAAAACTATTAAAATGCTTTTAGACGAAACAAATTTATTGTCCAACAAACGCAGACGGATATCCTCGAGAAATTGCCCCGTACAACACGTCATTTATATGATATAATAATATATAGTTTAGTCTTTTAAGAGTGTAACGTTTAGATGTTATTCGTATTGATACAAATTTGAAATCGCTTGCCAAAGGACTGAGTTTATGACGCAATTTTATTTTCTAATGATAAACAATAACTTAATATACGTTGAAATGTTTGTACAACCGTTTCGGTCAAATATAATTAATATACGTATATATAAATTATATACTCGTACGTGCTTACATAAAAACAAAAATACTATAATATTATGTATGTCAGTAAGTATATATTATAGTCGTTCAATATTGTGTACGAATTTTTTTTTTATAAATATTGCTATTGTTCTAAAGGAAATTATATTATTATGATTACATTATTGTTTATTATTAAGATTTAATATTGCCATTTAAAGGTAAGTTTTAATATTTAGTATAATATATAAAATATAAATATAATATAATATTGTACGCTGAGCAATTATTTCCCATATTATAGTGTCGATATACATTTAAGAAACTATATAACATTGTAAAGCTTGTATTATTGTAAATTACATTATTTGCAATTCAAATAAACGAATGCTTTTATTATTTTTTAAATCACTGCACTCTTACTATATTGCATCAAATACGTTCCCTGGCATAGTGGTATTTCTTTCAACGTGTCGGGATACAAGACATTTTTTATGGATAAAAGAATACCGATGCAGTACTGTTAAATCACAAAAGACCTTTGTTAAATAAATACAGTAGCAGACGTCACACGAAATGAGCGACTTATCTTTCTACTCACTTATAACAATATACAAATTATAACGACAAAGTGTCAATAAATGAAGTTAACTGTAGTGGCAAAATTATTTTCTTTTAGACGATCAAAATTATTTTATTATAGATCGTCTAAAATAATTTATGTATAGCCATCAGAGGAATATGTTTTTAGAGTTGTTGCAGTTTCAGCAGTATTTGGATTGGATCGCCTCCCATCTCCGACGATTCCTGCTCGAAGAACATTTTATACGTTGACACGATGTACCTACTTCAAGTGTGATTTGTGTCTGTTTGAGTGTAAAACCTATACTCTCGCATAATGTGATAAATTATTTAGGTTGAAAATAAAAACATGAAAATAACTCATGTATTTGGGTTACGGTTTTATTAGTTTATAAACACCATGCGTTTTTATAATAAATCGATCAGACCCATGACGTGTCTATTGTGATTTGTTTATATCTGACGATATCTGAACATTTATTTATGCAGTTATATGATCGACTTAAATTGGAAAAATCAGTGTCGTGGTTGTAGAATTTTTTTTTTTGATAAACTAATATAATGAGAATATTTAAATGTTGAGCCAAAAAAACGATTTTTACAATATTATTAAAAAAAGAAAACTGACAAATCTGATGTCGAGTGAATCTAGTCATCGAACCGTTAACTATAATGGATGTCAGAATTGTTAAATTTGAATTCTATGATAAATCATTACATACTAAAATCGATTCTGAGCGAAGATGGACCATCGTTCTATGAATATTTTATTGTACATTTAAATTTCTATTAAAGTGATACGGTAGGTTGAACTTAATTTTGCAAAAACAAGTCAAGTATAAATTTAGTAATTATAATAGTAGGTACATTATTTCATAGAATATTACTAGTTATCATGATAACTTATAAGTAAAAAACGATACGTAGGTACCATAGAACTGCGTGAATAGGTTCGTTATTTAAAATATAAATACTTTAACAACAATTTAAATACTTAAAAAATTGTTATTGCTTATAAATTTGCTTATAATATACATTATGCACCGTAATGAAAAGTTTCAGTCTTTCCGGAAAATATTTATCTTTTTAAATTACAACAATATAACTAAAAGTTTTCGCTTAAAATAAATATCCAATTTTGTAAATATGTACTCAATTGTCTGAAAAAAAAAATTTGAATTTGTATTTTTAGATTTTTAGGCTTCTGTTAAGAACTATACTTTTAAGGAATCGCATTCCTTTTATCTTGTAGTCATTAGTTCGTTGTAAAATTTGACACTTTTAAAAAAAAATCGTGCTTATGTATTTTTAAATTGATTTATTTAGAACAATTTATGAGAGATCTTTTATTCAATTTTCATGCTTTTTGGACCAAGCCTAAACATTATTATTTAAGTAGATACCAACTATTATACAACCAATTCGCTACCCACCCCTCAAAGTTGAAGCATTTTTATTTTTATTGCGCCAAAAGCCGATGACCCTCCCCAAAAAAAACCCAAATTATTGTAAAACCAAAACACGTATTTTTGTTCCGCTTAGAATCTAAAATCTAAGTGTAAATTTCGACTCAAATATTAAAAGGAATTCAATACCATACTACTGGAGTATGTGAGTTGCGGATTGCATATCCGAAACGCCGTTACAAACAGACCAGATAATAAACTAATAATCATAGATACTTTCTTCTATTGTCTATGCTATTAAGGATTAATTAACTGCATTAAGGTATATTATCCCTGGTTTTAAACAAATAATGTATTTATTAGTACCAACATTTACACAAAAAAACAGCAGAACTGAACTCGTAGTGTTATTAGACGGAAAGTTAAATTTTTGTTATTCCCGTTATTTCGACAGATGCCCAGAATTAATAATATAGGTACATAGAAGTAAAAAAAATAGGTAAAATATATTTTAATTCCGCTTTTGTTTTTGTTGCCGTCGTTTCGTAATAAGTATACAACTCACTGCGTTATTGGTTTCATTTTTTATCGCATTAAACTGTCAAAACCGCTCATGGATATTGTTGAATATTATAGCCTGAAACAGTTGGTTAGATCATATTATACATCATAGTATAATATGATCTAAGATAGCTATGGAAAATAATGAATTATTATTTGTCATACAACTCGTGTTGATATGGTTTTTAATTATAATTATTATCGGGTACACCTACACACTTTCATAGAGAACGATGCACCGGTTTACGGCAACAATTATTACTTAACTCTAAGTCAAACTATTATAATAATTTATATAATATAATAATCCCTAACCCTATGTCACATGTCAGTTGTAGTCGGTCGACTGTCGGGGCACTCCAATGACGCAATATTGTTCGCACGTTCGCATAATATCAGATATGATAATATTCAAAACGACCTCGACGTATCCATATAATATAATTTCATATTGTGTAAATAGTTAAGTTATGATTTTAGATCCTCTGGTCGAATCGCACGATTTGTCCGAGTTTAAATTTTCCCAGACAAATATTCTTTGGCGTAGGCTGCACACAGAAAGAGATTTATTTCTGACTGCACAAAATTATTCCCACTCCTAGAATGTAAAAGGAAATTAAACTACGTACTAATATTTCCCATAACTTACCAAATAAATAATTTTACATTTATGCACTATTTTTAATTGTAAATAATACGTTTATAATAGTGTTTAGAAATATAAGTAATAGATACAACTATACAAGTATTATTAGAAATATCAATCCACTGTCAGCTTAAGGCCTTTAGGGTTTTCTAGTTTTCTACTTCACTATCACTCTCTGAAGTCACTTAATCTGCTTCTTGGAATATTCCTTTTAAATAATTCTGTGTCTTTCCGTTTGGTCTACTGACTATTAGTCGTCCTTATTTCTTTCATTGTCTTTTATAAATGTATTACCGCTTTTCTTACATCCCAATTCACTTATTATAATTTATAAAAAATATATATAAATAGTAATTTTCTGTTTCTACTTGTATCCTAGCATCAACTTGACACACAACACTTGATCTGAGAGCATGACAAAACTAAAACACAACAATCAATTTTCAAATTGAAACAATTTTTTTTTTTATTCGAACCTTGAATTTTGCTTGCCATTAGGCATTATTTAATAATATAGAATAAATAACAACGAACAATTATTTTGTTGCACAAAGCACAAAGTAACAACTTTCACAGCACAACTACTTTTCTCGCTGCACACTAAAAAATCTACACAGCTACACAAGTATTAGAATCGATTATAAATATTATAACATAATAATATGTAATATTATTAATATTATTATCATATTCATAATCTGTACTATAGATTTGGGTAGGTAGTCAATATTTTACAACAGGTGAACTACATTAAACATTTTAAGTATCCTGTGATCGACCACTAATTATTATTTAAGTACCTACCTAGGAAGGTATATTATTTATACTATTACATGCAGAGCAATAATAAATCGTACATCTAATAATATTCTTATATTTTATTATATCTAGTATTAAGTAGGAACTTTTGATTAGTCTATAAAGTTATTATATTCGATTGGTTTGATTTTAATCCCATCGTTGCGCGGACTCCGAGCTTTAAATAATTGTAATACAATTATCCTATACTGTTGATACCTTAAAAGAACTGTTACTGTTGACATAATATCGTCATAATAGTTTTTTTACTATCAATTTCGACAATAACCGTAGTGGTAAGTGCCCAAATTGTCATTAATGGCTGTTTATATCAGCCTTTATGCAATTAATGTTTGTTAATTTCAATAAAGGATTTAAATAAGGCACATCATTTTATTATTTCAACTGATTTATTATTCAAACGTTATTGCATTTGTACAATCTTTGTTTCAAAAGATTGTGTTTTTCTTCAAGACTTTTCATTCTATTCTTATTCTGGACCTTAGCGCCAGAGGTGTATAGACACCTACATAATTTGTTGAAGCTTTTATATTCCTGTAATTATGTTCATATGTTGATAAACTCTGTTTTTCAAATATATCTTGTAGGTGGTAGATTGAAGAAGAAATCAACATAGGTATACTGTATCGGTACAGTAAAAATTTCTTAAGCTTTATTCTTATTAAATTTTCCTTAAGCTATTGTCCATTAACTGCGCCAAATGCTTTATCAAAACCACTAAAATTATCGAAAAACTTGATCGAGTGATTTCCAACAATAAATCCCCTCCTAATGAAGATAGATCAGTGCTCCATCTGTGTGAATATGTTGACAAGCTGAAATTATCCCTCTATAACATTGTTTAACTGATTGATCGATGGTTCTTTAACCAACGTGTATCAACAGTTTAAGATATTTAAATTTTTTTCTAATTAATTGATTTTTAAATATCTTGAAATATTTTGTATCGTTTTACAGATTTATGAAATAATTTATATAATATATTTATTATCTTTAATAACTTGGAGAGTTTGTTTAATAGTGGGATACTACTATTACGAGTATAATATTATGTAGATGCCAATTATAGTGCTTACAGTAGATATATGGGATTTCTTTTCTTGCTTTTTCTGATTATATTTTTCGTACTCCACTTATATTTCAATTTTATAGGGAGATAAATAATTAATAAGTCTCCTGCAACCTTGCAAAACTTCCATATTCGTCGAAATGAATACAAAACATATTTTATATAGTACTAGCTCTAAGTATAACTCGGGGCCCGTTGGAATCGCTGAGAGTGGGTACCGATTTTGGAGACAATGAATTATAAAAGTCGCAAAGGTTGTAAGACGAAAGTTTAGGATTTGTGATAAGGATTAGTGATATGGATTGGAGATAAGGCTAGACGCTTTGGCAGGAATGTTAAAAGTTTGAGTGTCTAGCAATCCGTCACAAACGTTGTAAATGGATAGGCTGGATACAATCTCCAGGATCACCTATATAGAGTATACCTGCACATAGAGTGGTATGTGCCGTAGCATGACCGGTGCTATATCTTATGTAAAAAGTGTAAAGTCGAAAACCGTGTTGGAGTTTCTAGCAAGTCAGTCATCTCAAGTCAAAATCTATTAACTTTCAAGTTAGCCACTTAGGTAGGCAATCCGACTTCGTCGGATCGCGGACTATGTGCTGCAGCAAATCAGGTAGGCAATCCACCTGCGGTGGATTGCAGACACGACATCAAGCGGCTATAAGTGAAAACCCTATCACACAACTTACGAAATTATTTACGAAAAATTCAAACTATATACATACAAACAAATATGATATGTATTTATTGTGTGATATAATATAACAAAAAATTAAAATTCCTAAAAAATATTAACATATAGGTAGGTAGTTAGATACATACTATTATATTAACCAATACATATAAACATGTACCTATAGTGTATATATATTAATTTAAAAAAAAACTGCAAAAACCTGCATGTTATTTGTTAAAGTGTCTATCAAGTCAATCATCACCGTTTAAGACGAAACTAAAATGAGCAATCCGTCTATCACCTATATATAGTAGGTATATCACATAGAGTGGTATGTGCCTTCGCATGTCCGGTGCCTTTTCTTATGTAAAAAGTGTAAAGTCAAAAACCGTGTTGGAGTGTCTAGCAAGTCAGTCATCTCAACTCTCAAGTCAAAATCAAGATTAACTTTCAAGGCAAACCGAAATAAAATACAAACTATATTTATATAACAATCATGGAAATTTTAAAAAATATGCAATTTTAATAATTCCTAATAAAACAAATATAATATGTACCTATTTATTGTGTGATATAAAATGATAATGACTTTAAATAATAATAATGTACGATATGTTCCTGTATTATTATATTATTATTTAATTTATATGAAAAATAACGTGAAAAAAAATGCAAAAAATATCGTGATTTGGGCGGCCGTGTAAACCATATGGCATTGACGGTTTCAATGCCTGGACGGCGTACGACGGATTTGAACCCGGGACCTACGTGTTTCCTGCCTAACGCCTAACCTACTCGGACACAGTTTGAGATATGAAAGACAGTGAAAACATCAACAATTAAGCCGTGCGACTACGGAGCGACGTAAACCGATATTTCCGATGTACATCGATGTAATCGCATATAATTCGCTTGTAATACGCGCATCTCCCATATATATATTTAACGGGGCGTGTGAAAAGCGTTTTCCGTTAATAATTATTAAATCATAAGGAAAAATTAAATTATACACCTATATACATGTATATATACGCGTACGGCTGGTCGGTCGCCGGCGTAATTTCCAAACGCGATTGCGAGGCGAACGAACCGATTTTGGGGGAAAAGCGCATATAAACGGCTTCAAAAAGACTCGATTCGGACACAAACGGGTGCGAATAGACGAAACGGTGGGAGAAAAGGAAAAAATCGGCAAAAAAGTCCGGTCGGGAGTGTATTTATTGATCGACATTGCACGAATATAAACAGCACACCGGTGGCTTCGAATTAAGTATATAAAAGGGCGAAAAGATATCGTGTAAAAACAGCTAATTTTCCGAAAATCGGCGAAATGATAGGAAAAGAGGTGATAACGAAAAACGTTTTAAAACCGACCGCCGCCACTGCGAACTGCGAAGGTACGCGATTGGTCGCGCTATAAGGAATCGACGGGACACGGCCGGCGGGCTGGGGAAACGGAGCAGTGCTTCATTTTTTACGCTAAGGGTTCGCTATAGCCGGCGTTTTCCTTTCCATTGGACCCCAATATTATCAGTCAGCTGTTCTTCATTTTATAGTATTAGATATAAGACACGGCATTATTTGCAATGTTATTTGGATGTGTATATAATTATTATATATATATTTCTCAATTGTAGGAGAGATAAAGATGAAAAACATAGTAATTGGATTTTTTTTTAAATTTCAGGAATGAGTCATAAATACAAAAATAACCTAATTCACGCAGACTTGATTTGAAGGGGGATGGCTTTGTTACTAACAAGTTGTTAGATATTTGGGTCCCCACCCCTTATTGAACGACCCATTGATCGTAATACGATTAATAACCGTTTCGATGAACTCATGTTGTTATCCATAATGTATCTAGGCAGCATACAATTTAATATAATACATAAAAACATCTTATATGACTTTACTCTGATATTTTTGATGAACTAATATTCTATGACGTTATCTCGACTGGACGCCGGCCGGACATTACTTGTAAATAGATTTATTTTTTTTAGGATTTATAAAGCGTTATAATTATGTTTTTGATATTTATATTATGAAATATAAGTATCCGTGGCATATATACGGATTCGAGGTTAGAAACAAGAACCAAACATTAGAACCAAAATGGCAAACTATTACATTAGAAGGTTATGTTTTATTTTATGAATTTAACAAAACAAAAATAAACAATCAGAGTTTTTTAGTATGGTTTTCTTATTAAAACCTAATAGTATATAGGTATATACCTACCTTTGAATCGGGGTTATAGTAGCCAGTAGATACCTATAATAAGTATTATGAGCAATAATATTATTAATACATTTTAAATATAAGTATAAATTATAAAATAGTTATGAATTACAAATACCTATAATCTATATTTAATTTAAAATAAATACCTCTAGTAGGTAACAATCGTATCTACACCACTGATATAAGTATGAATCATAATTGTCTATAAAATCTATTGATAAAAACAACTCCATGGACGTATTTAAGTACTCGATCGATTTGGTACCTATAAATTATAATAAATAAAATATTATTTGGTTTTGTTTTCACCGCATTACTAAAAACATTCCTGATATTTTTTAAATATTATAATATAGATTAGGTACAAGGATTATAAAATTTGTTTTTAGTTTTACACTTCTACGATACGTCAACATTTATCCACAAATTATGAAATTACCTATTATTTTTTTTTTTTTATAAAGGATTACAAGTTACAACATATTAATAATATAACAACGGTTAATTGGAAAATTTTTATTATTTTTTTTTTTGTAACTATTAATTTTGGTATAAATAACAAGCCCAGAAAAATTATTTTTATATGTTTTCTTGTAACGATGCCACGGTGTTAATGTCGTTTGTTGATTTGTACAATATGGTTCTTATGTGAAAATGTACACTTTAAACATGGCACAAATGGATCAACGATATGATCTACTTTCTCTTTCTGTAATGAGGCCTGTAACAGTAAAAAAAAAAACAAAAATCATACAATTATTTTTTAACATTACAAAAGGGATGGACGAAATTCTTTTAAAAAATTATAATGTTATTATGTCATAAATTATGACTTATTATAATTGAAAATCGAACAAACGGCAATAGAAACAAACATATTATCGAGGAGTGAAAAATATTAAACGCTTAAAAATGCGACGAATTTTATACGGAATAATGAATGTTATGCAACTGATCGATAGTTATAAGTTTAAAAGCAAAACGGTAAACCGGCAGCATCAATATATATTATAAAGGTGCTGTAAATGCCAAACGTTACGAACAGTATTTCATTCGTCCGTAATATAATTAATAATAAAATATGCTATAATTTATCTTATCACGTCTGCTGGATTGTTCGATTAGACAATAATTATACAATGAAGTCGTTGTCATAATTTATTATTTTTACGTCGATCATTAACGGCACGAATGGTATAATATTATGTAATGACGTACCCTTTCTCGACGCACGTCAGCGAAGATTCGTCCACAACGCTGTCCTCGCCACAGCTTATCAACCTTGGATGACCGTGCACGCACGTGATGAGCCTGTGAGAGTCTCCTGGGAGGGCGTACCTCGGGTACGGTTCGAATTTGGCGGACACCGAGTGTGGGTCTGCCTTTTCTGGGCAGCTGAATCCAATTATGTCTGTGTGGAAGAGAAAAAGCAAAACGAAAGTCGACACACCGTTCAAGCGAAACAGTACTATACTATTTAGCTATACGCGGTAATATCTTGCGCTCACGACCTGGGACGGATTTACTACAATAGTCAGTTAATAACGGGGGGGGGGAGTGAGTGGGACAACCGTGGTTACCCGTCTATTTCGTTAGAGAAAAATTAAAATTTTAATTTGAGCGGAATGGTTTTTAATGCCACAATGTCACCCCAAGTTGCTATGGGGGTAAATCCGTCTCTGTGCGAGCGTAATATCATCGTAATATTTATTATAAGCGTTAGGACGGGAAACGACAATTTCGAGTACCTGCAGGGTTGCATCCCACGTCGACGAGCTCATCGGGCCAGTTGCACTTCTTGATCCTGTCGTCGTAAGCCAGTCCAGGTTCGCAGGGCAGGGCGTACGGTGTTCCGTGTTCGCACTTGACGTAGTTGGTGCTGCAAGCGGAGCCGTCTGAGAACAGACCGAACTGGTATTCGCATCCGGGAGAACTGATCGGCGCAACTGTGGAACATGATAACGATGTCATTATTATGGTGCAAAATGCTCCAATAGAGAAATTGGGGACGGTCGTGGTGGCTGGTGAGCTTATTATTATATGCTTTGGGGAAGTCCGCAGGGGCTGCGGAACGAGCCCAAATGGTTTCGATTTTTAAATAAATTTATTTATTGGCTTTTCGTCCATCTGCAGCTGCATCATGAACGTCTAGACATTTGAAGTTATTATGATCGTCTATACTATTTTAGCAACATTCCCTGGACTCTGCGCCTCTAATATAATATAATCGCAAAACACGGAGCTGACAGAACGTACATATATTAAGGATATATAGAGCACCGAACAAGTGTTCAGAGAAAAGTACAATGTCAAATTTAGCATTAATTCTTCGTCCAATAGGTATATATATATTCTTTTTTCAAATCAGGTGGATCTCCTCAGATATATATTTAGTTACCTAATCGGGTGATTTCTATTTTAACGCCCTAGCGGATTTGTGAGTATATACTCGCATATAATAACACTGGAGAACGGTCTGATCCGGCTTTTGACTTTTGACTGTCCGTGTGCCATGTAGATCGCACTATCTCATAGGTCACCGTCCAAAATTTGTTCGTGCATTATACTTTCAAATTGTAGTTGGTATATATATTTGTCTTTGCGTGTAACCTACGTTCGGCTTTGCGGTTGCCGCAATCGACGGCCCAGTGGTAGTTGCAGTGATGGTAGGCGGCGCCTTTGCCGTCGTACAGTAGACCGTTGCCGCACTGTTCCAACGTCAGAGTGCCGTTCGTGCAAAGGTAGAATTGATCGCAATAATCGGGGTGGACGTACGTCTGTTCGCCATGTTGTTCAGGACACTGCGACGATCCGCTGTATTCCTGGCACTGGATCACTGCGAAAGGCAAAAGTACTAGGTTAAGTAATAATTAGTTTAGGTAGCAGGTAGAATATGACTCGGCTCAAAAGTGCACAAATGATTTTTATAGAATATTATATAGTGTTCCAATAAAATACAATATAGTTCACCTAGGTACCCTATTAGAATAATGATTAAAATATATTACATTATCGACAGGTATGCAATTGAAAAATTGACATGGAAAATAATCGTATACCCCGGTCAACAGAACATTACTATTTTATATTTTTATATTATAATAATATTATTATAATATATTTTATACCCATATACGCGATGAGGAGCCATTATCAGCTGCAGTATAAACTTATCGATTTTGACGGACGAAAATTATCGCGTCGATTTGGATAGTCCGATTAGACCCATTACCCACACTTGGTATAGAAATGTTCGTACCCACCGGCTACCTATATGTATAGGTATGCAAATGGGTCCATAACACAACACTTATTTTGTACGTATATTATATATAGAGCAGTTGTATATAATATTATTATGTGCAGAGCTGGTATACGAGTTAAATTTTTCCTCGGCCCGCCCTCCGACGTGGTTCAAACTCGTTTCGCCGGGGAGGAACACCCATACTGCAAACCGCATCGCGAGCGGCGTGCAACTTTCACCCGAGCGAAAACCGCGGACGAGAGTGCGTTATTACGGTATTATTATTATCGTTATTATATTATATACATTATACATATATATATACAATGTAAGTCATTATTTTGTGATCGCGGTCCCGATATCGAGGCGTGCGCACTGCCCCTCAGGCGTAAACGTACGTACATATATAATATATATATATAATATTGTAATGGTTGTTGTCGCTATATAGAATAAATTTATGAAACGCTTCGGGCTAGTGGTTTTGTTCCAATCTGTCATATACGCGTCCAACGCGAGCGAGTTGCACAACTCGGGCACGATACATATTATATACATGAAATTATTTATAACAATATTATGCAACTGACACAACTCATATAATATAATATTGTATTATATGTACACGATTTATAATAATAATATATTCTTCGGGGCCGCGTTTCTATGTTGGCCGCCCGCCGTTGAGTATACCCGAAATCCGTCTACACCCTCCCCGCCCAGCCTCCCCACAACCATGACCGTCTCCCACCACCGACAACGACCGATCTATAATCCCTTTTTACCTGTATATTTAATATTATGATATACACAACGATCGTGCACTCGATCATTTTTCAGGGTAATTTATGTAGATAATTATTGCGTGGACCTACGCCTATGTATAGTGTTATATATATATTATATATGCTTTGTCCAGCGTATTCCATTTAAAATCATAATCGCCGATGTATGTATGTTATAAGTATATGTATAATAACACTGATAATTTAAACGAAAATTATTAAATCGCGAAGTTCCGACTACACCCAACGTTCCAAACAGTAACCGAATAGACTGCACCACTGAGTTTTCTATGTTTAAATGTAATATTATAATATAAATGTGTTTTAAATCGAATATCGAAAGCAGTAGGCATATAATAATTATAATACCAAACGAACCCGTATAGTTATTCTATCGTTGTGATATCTTACAAATCGTCTCTCGACGTGACACTCGAATAACATTGGTAAGTATGTTTAAACGAAAAAAATACGAAATACGCTCATTGCGCGCCGGTAGTAATTTGACATATTAAATAATTTAGCCCATGTATTCGGATCGCGACAAAACTGTAATATTACATTATAATATTCTTACCGATGCTCACTTTTACCAAAAATATAATAATACGACGGACGCGTTTAAAAATGTATAAAAACGTACCTGTTGCTTTGAGCAGGAGCACTGCGGAAAACGTCCAAAAGACGTTCATCGTGGCGGCGGTCTGTGCGGTATTTACCTATATACGCGTGTTTACAAATCCGACCTGTCAGACAATCGGCGGCTTCTGGTACACTGTACGCGTTGTACGTAAAATACAATAATAATGAAAAAAGAATAATAAAACGCACGTGACAAATGTTATATGTACGTGTGTACTACGCGCCTTTCACCGACAGCGCTCCAATCAGATGTCCAATCTGTATCCACACGCCGCTTTGCTAGGAACCGAATGAACTTGAACCACTCCGCCGCGAAGTGCCGGCCGACTATCATATTATACATAGGTATAATATAGTTATAATAATATAATACGTTATCGTTGTAATAATATAATACGAGATATTATTATGCCACTATATGGAGGTGATATTGACAATATAGCCTCTCAGTACTATTTCTTCACCGCAGTGGCGGTTTTTCGTTTTGCAGTTTTCGTAAGATTCGTAAAATAACATAATATAACCGTCACGATATTCTCTTATAGTGGCGTGCCACCTGTATTTTAATATTATAACGAAATATTATAATACGAGTGGTACGATCGAGTGAGTCGATCGCTACGATCGAAGAACATCACAATATATAATATTTTTTTGTTTCTCGTTGGTTCTTTTGTAGGATTGATAGAATAATATTATTATAGCCATTGATATTCCTGCAATTTCCGCGATATTATTGTCCGTTGTGCATCCGCCCGTTTAAATTAATACATTTTATTCGTAGTAAATAATATAATAAGTGACGAATCGAGTCGAAGGCATTTACTCTGTTCCGACTGCAATATTATTGGCTCCGAGAACCATGAAAAATCGTTTTAAAAACGCATTTATTTTCACTAGGCGATTTTGGCGAAAACATCAAATACTGCAATTTTATAAAAAAATTTCCGAGAAGTAGCAATCATATTTCTTCAATATTGTTATTTTCTCATGATTTATTTAATACACAAGAATGTTTCTTTGTTTAAAAGTCGAGTTCTTTCTACTCATTATTTTATAAATAAAGAACGGAACGTGGCACACGGGGAGAAAATGTTTTCGTCTGTTATAATTTACAATACTGATTTACGTTGAAAATTTGGATATTTTTCAGATTGTTTATCAACCGAGACGGTACGTAGTTCAGTAGTTGCATCTACTTTTAAGGAATTACTTATTTGTGTTTCTTTGATATAATAATAGTCATTTTATTATTTTCTGAGAAATTGAATTTCTATTTTTGACAGACAGTAGACTTATGTTAAGTTCATATTTCAAACAGAATAATGTTGCATATACCTAATACAGGGGGAACACAGTATTTGAGTAGGTAACATTACATTGTAATAATTATCTTATTTGATGCAACGTAACTATTGTCTTCAGATCAAGTTTCACTAATATCTATTCAAATAAAATGAATGCATTATTTTGTACAAAGGATGAAATAATTATTATCATAATAAATATAATTTTTGTTGAGACAACTGTACTGAAATCCTTTACAAAGGACAATCTAGCAACTACTGATTAATTAATGGCTCCGTGGAATTCCATAATGTTTCCATTCTATCATAATTCTCTCTATATTTCATCGACTTTCAAGGACGATGGTCATTAAGAAAACCGGCTAACATTATCATAATACCACTTTGGAACTGTGCCCGAACGCCCTGAACAAGATGGTTGTATTAATATTCTCATACACACCAGACAATTTTACAATCTAAATATTATCGTATATATTATTATCATTATAAGTACGAATAAATAAATTGTCTATTAAAATTGTAATTTTTTCAATGAAAACAAATTAACCTAATATCATTTTTGTTTCATGCATTGAGGTTTTTAAGTTGCTGTTTTAATTGCACCACTGCACTTAAATATTATATAATATACGCTTTATACCTTTCTGTATATTACATTATATTATACTCTCATAATTGAGCTATTTTGATAAATTTAAAACACTCGTTTCATCTCATGATTTTATACAAATCATTAATATATACAAATATTTTGGCCATGTAAAATTGTTATCAATATCGATAAATTGTTATCGTTTTCATATAAATCAGTCAACCAGGGAAGTATGAATTAAATTGTCATAATTTACTTTTTTAAACACCAAATCATCTAGATTATATTTAAACTCAATAGATTCATAGAAAAGTATTGTAGTTGATAAATATACTTACGTACCTCAACAGTATATCAATATAATATATTAATATGTATTCAAAAACACCATTTACTAGTTACAATTTCAAATATTTGTAAGTGTATGGGTATACTGTATTGTTATATTTCTATAAAAACGGTATAAGCAGTGGGGATATTTTACTATACCATTTACCAATACACAAATATATATATATATATATATATATATATAAGTTTTTAAATAAACTAAAATATTTTAATTCAGTATTTTATATCAATTGATTTTATCACCACTAAATAAATCGTTTTAAAAAAAAAATAGTTAAAAATGAAAAATAACTAATTTTAATTATCTTTAAATCAACTGTAATTATATTTGTGTAATAATATATGTACTATAATTTTATAATCTTATGTTTTAATCTTACAATTCTATATGTATATCAATATTGACTATGTATACTGTGCCTCTTGGCAACCCACATGGTGAGCAGTCCGCTCAATAAAGTTGTTATAAATATACACTATTTGAATTCGGCATGCTCAGGATAAAACGTTACTCGATAAAAACATATTTAAAAATTTTAACTTACACATTACTACAACAGGATTTATGATAAATTAACATCACACATTTTCAATAATGGTTAATATGCTAGGTAGTAGGATCGTTCAATCGTTGTATCTATTTTATATACCCTGGCATTACAAAATCGTGTCTTGAGTTTCCAATGCGCAATATATATAGGAATTGAGTATTTGAGACTTGTGAGCCATATTGATTTTAAGGTACTATACGGTAACCGATAGTAAGGCTTACCTACTCAATACTCAATAATCAATAATCATATAGTTTCAAAATCAATCGTTTGGTATCGATTAATAGTTTTAATTTTTTTTAAAACTTAAGCTGCAGGTATATTTACATAAATTAAATGTTAGAACTTACTTTAGGTAATGATACAAATATCATATAATGTTTAGTGAATTAATTATTTGAATTACTTAAAATGTTATGATTATTGACAAGCTTATGAATGCGCTTGGAAAGAATGCATCTTAGTAAATAATGTATTTCGGGTATTTAAAATATACAAAACAATATGAAAATATATGCTTAAAATTAAAACTGTTTGTATATCATTATTACTATGCTATATAACATACTAATTAGTCTTGAGATGAAATTTGAAACTAAACCTTAAATGCATTCGCCAGTAATAAGAGTCTAACTTTTCAACTTATTTTAAGTTTAAGCAGTTTAAATGTACAACTACTTACAAGAATAAAGTAGAATATAATATGTAGTAGGTATATATAGGTACTCACTTTTCTGAGTATATAGGTACATAAGATTTTAAAATAAATGTCGTTAAAATATTCTATTATTTTTGCTTTGTTTAATTTATTTAGCTTAAATGATATTTTTAGTTTACTACACCATCTAAAAGTATCTTCCTTGTTCAACATATTTTAGAAATCTATAGGTATACAGGTTTTACATAAATTATGATGTTCTAATGTTAAATTCACATTTAATTATTATGCCAATTTGAATAGTACATATAGCTATTTTAGTAATAAATAAAATTCAGCAAATATATGTTACTCAAAATAATGGTAATATATATAATATTATTATTACATTATTACCTATATATTTATACCTATACAGTGTGTATGTGCGTGGACATATTCTAGTGAAAAAGTTTCAAATATAATATATTTTAATTAGAAACATATTAATTCAAATTATTTCCAGAGCCATAAACATATATCAATGCTTAGGTTAACTTGAATAAATAATTATTTTTCCTTTAATTTCAGAATATATCAATATACATAGTTATTTTTGTGGTAAAAAAATGCATTAAATATGTAATAAAAAATTAATAATATTATTTTCATGTAAAGTAATTTCAGCTTAATATTATGGTTTCATTATAATATTAAATAATGATTTATATCAAACGTTATAGTGTTGTGAAATATGTGGTACTTATGTTACACACTATTAGTATCACTATAAATTCACTCGTGTCGTAGAAAATCATAAATAAATAAATCAAAGTCAAAATCATATATCAGAGTAACCTGAAGTTACTTAGTAAAAACTTAGTACCAGTAATTATATTAGTTTATTCTATAAGCTACCTATTGGTACGTTTAATACCAGTTTAGATATTATACGATTTTATTTAATAAAACAAATTACTTAACTGAAAACTTTTTATCTCAGTTTCAGCAATCATAATAATTATAATTAAAAAACTGGTACGAGGTTATTAAATAAGTAACTTAATTTACAGTCTAAACAAGTGGCGGTGTAGGTACATAATATATAGAGTACACAACCATTAAAAGTAGTCAGCTCACGAGAAACGCACAGTGGGCGTGTGAAATGCATTGAATAAAATAAAAAGATAAATTATAATTTATAAGCTTTCACTTATCATATTAGTATTTCAAGGATTTATTTTAAACTAACTTAAAGTGTTGTACATTGTTGGCCACGTTTTAGGATGCAATTAAATAACTATTACTATTCGAAGTAATGTACATTGTGATTGCTTTTTAAAACAACAAAAATATTTATTTTACATTTAAATATAAAATAATTACACTATATAGATTATACAAATGAGATTTTAATTTTTTCCGCCCTTATTCTCGTCCTCGTTTGCGTAGTAATTTTCGCTGAAAAATAATAAAAAGTAAATATAATTAATATTATTTAAAAAAAAAATGTAAATTACTTTATTTATTATATTTACACCTAATATAAAATGTAAATTGCTGGTCTCTCTCTTATAATATATGCTAATTTTGTCACACAATCACTTTACATAGATTCGTTGGAACTTTTTCGTTCACAAAAAGTGAGTGAAAAAGAGAGTTACTATTTTTCTTGTATTCGTAACAAGAAAGATAATAGCGAATCGATTGAAAACATTTTATTACAGGAATTTTGACAAATAAACTTTAGTTGTGTTGTTTAAGGTTAATGCACATACCTATTATGTCTTAGAATTATTATAGATACAGATCATAGTATTCTATAGAATCTAATTATTAACTAATAGATTTCACATAAATTAGCTTTAGTTTCTCTATGTTTTTTTCTATGTATAGGAAATATTGATTTATAATATTACATCTCGTTAATAAATAATAAATTATTATTCGTACAACACATTTGACAACGTAATAAGAAAAGAGTAACGAATGGATATAAAAGCTTGAATCGTGAAAGCTATTCATATCGCTTACGGTGAAATTAATCATAAGAGATATGACAGGAGATGCAAAACAGGAATCGATCGAGTAGACGTTTTTTGATGTCTGGTGAAGTAGGAGAGAAAGGCGAGAAATATTTTCTTTTTTTTTTTACGATTCGAATAAAAGCACCTCGTTGCCCGTACTTATTTTACAATTTTGTTTGAATACATTTTTCACGATTTCTTTAACAGATTCTAATAAAAAAATAAAACAGAGCCGTTTGGAAAAGTTCTGTTTGTAATTTTTTTTATGCTCATCATTGAGATGGGAATCAACGAGATTACTTTTGACTATAGTGCCTAATTAAAATATAAAAATAAATAATAATAGCTCTTAAAAGTTAAAATAACTATTGGGCGTATGATGGAAGTTGTAGACTGATATATAAATATTTGATACAGACTGCAATAACCTGTGATTGGTAATCATATTATACTCTGACGGTTTGGTATATTTAAAGATCTGGGGTAAAATAAAAATTTCATTCCCATATTTATGACGTGTTTAACTGTTTAAGTTTAAGTAATTATTTTTTACGTTATATCATTCGAGCCGTGAACAATTAAGTTTTTTGACAATATTTGGTACGCTGTGATTTTAAAACCATTATGTGTATCATAATGACGTGTCTGATTGGCATGGATGTGTCCACATGGATGCAGAGTAATAGGGTATGCACATGAACCGCTGTGATTTCAGGTGGCACCCACCACAGGCTCATCGGATATAGATATTTAAATATAAATATCAACATAGACCATATAGGATAATATTATGCATAAGAACCTAACAAGTATTGCGTTTCGCAGTTATCACCTTATCAGTTATCAGAAAGTGATAAGTCACGAATAAATTAGATGTTTGTTGATTGTTGAATTGGTATTGTCATTAGGAATAGGTGATAGCAGCAAAGTAAAAAAATGGCTCAAATGCATGAGTCGAAAATAACAATTGTACCATACAAAATTTTGGGGGCTGTATTCGATTTGGGTCCCAAATTTAAAATTGTTATACTAGTTCGGTCAGGGATTATTTTAGGTATTAAACTAGTTGATTCCCTGTTTTTTTCTGGTACTACACTTTTAGGGTTCCAAGGAACCATTTTTCTTCCCATTTCAACAGACTTAGAATTAGGTATCTAGCTTGAAATTAGGTTGCCATTCAAAATATAAATTATTATAATTTTACAAATTATGATATATTAGTACAAATATAGGCAAAATACCAAGAAAAAATTATAAACATTAAAAAAAAAAAAAAAAACTGTATAGGTAATATTATTAAACATTTTTAACCATATCTTTGGTCTAAATAATAGATCTTGTAGATCATAGATTGTCCTAACTCTTAAATCTGTTAAAAGAGTAAGGAAAATATTAGTATAGTATGTAGTACTCGCATATGCTATATAGTACCTAATACTACCTATATTATCATTACCTACCTATTTATACATGATTTTGTTTTCTTATATCAATTTCATTTTAATTGGTTACTGACATTAGTTATATGAATTTTTAAAAGAGGGTCAACATTTTGTTTGAAGTGAAACTTTTTTACAGACGGTACGAAAAAATAAGATTATCATATGTCATGACACTATGGTTTGTTATATGGTAATAAATAATAATCTTTGAATAATAACAATAATAAATAAATTTAAATTGAACATTTTACTTTATTCCAGTACAAATTTACAAACCTAATATTCGATAATATTAATGTATTTAAGGTTCACTATTCCTCCGAAAGTTCTCATAGCGGGTGTGTCTCCTTTTTACTGATCAATATTTTTTGAAAGGTGATTGAAAATAGTAATAATTATATTTCATTATAGCCGAGAGTATTAAAGTTTCAATTGATTTACGTCATCAGCTATCTCAACTATCAAAGAAAACAATTTAATGTAATATCATATTTTGCCGTTTTTGGTTTCCTAAAAATCTTAAATATCCAATTTATAGAGTTGATAATATTATCGTTAGTATTTTAAAAGTGGAAGTATTCAAATATAATTGTTTGAGTTTGAACTAGGGGCTGGTAGAGGGTTATATATTTTATAATAGTTGTCGAGCAAGAATGTATGAGGGTCGAGGAAGATTCATTGTATGCGATTACTGATTACGGACACATAAGACTTGGTCGAATCGAAAAAAAATCGTGGCAAAGTGATTTGTCTCCTGTCGCGTGATAATAGCTGTCCCATATATACCAGTTTACCATCATTATCATCATCACCATCACCACAATCATCATTACTCACCATCCTTGTACGTTTTCCGGTTCGTCGCACTTAAAGGACACGTCGTTGTACACGGTACCCGCGGAACAGCTACCGTATTGCGGGATGACGCCGTTCCGGCAGATGTAGAACTTCTGACAATCGTCGGGGTGGGCGAACGTCGGATGGGGTAAGATTCTGCCATTGGGACCGACCACGTCACCTTCTGGGCACGTGAAACCGTCGGTGAGAGCGTCTGCAAAAAAAAAAACACAATCATAATATTATGTAAACGAAAATGGCAATTTTTTGCTGTCCACGCTAGACGACAACATGTAAAATACTATTGAATTATATAATATATTTATGTTATTTCTGCGACGCATTAAATAAGTCAAATATAGACAATAAGGTGTGGACTTGTAAAATATAAAAATATATGTGTGGACTATTCATAAAAAAATTATTTCGTATAATGTGAGAATATAAATTATTACTTACACGTACCTACGGCATGGGCAAAACAATATCTTATTACACCGGCACGCAGTATTATGTTATACCTACCTATATTATTGGCTGCATCCGAATTGGGTCCCGAATTCAAAAATGCTATACTAGTTGGGTCCGGGATTTTTCCAGGTACTACACTAGTTGGGTCCGGGATTTACGCAGGTACTACACTAGTTGGGTCCGGGATTTACGCAGGTACTACACTAGTTGGATCCGGAATTTTCACACGTACAACAATAGTTGAGGTCTTAATTTTTTTTTTTTTGAGTACTACATAAGTTTATTTTCCTTCCCTTTTTAACAGACTTATGACTGTTAATTTAGACCAAAGTTATGGTTAAAAATGTTTTTTACAATTTATTTTTTTAGTTTATTTGCCATTAAAAATATAAATTATTAGAATTTTATTTGAATAATAAATGGCAATAACATGCAGGTACTAAACAAAGAAAAATATTAAAATTGTTAAAAATCAAATATAAAAAATACATAGGTATTGTATAATATAAATAAAATATTGTTTAAAGAAATCACACGTGTATTGTTAAATTTTTTTAAGACATTCATTTTGCAAAATCAAATCGATTTATTATTCCTGCATTTTTTTGATTCATTTTGTTTTTTATAAATTTTGATAAATTGATCGTTGGAATATTTAAAAAAAATGACTTACATGATCTCTGAATGCATCTCCATCGTTCAATATCATTTTTCGTTTGGATTGTATATTTACTTAAAATAATCTCAGACCCAACTAGTGTGGTACCCAAAAATATCCTGGACCCAACTAGTGTAGTACCTAAAAAATCCAGGACCCAACTAGTGTAGTACCTGCGATTTATCCCTAGTACTCGGGACCCAACTCGGATGCGCCGATATTATTCTGTGTTACGGTATAGCGATAAGGTATTCGCTATAATACATATTTTTTTGACGCTTTTGAACCTAAAAATGCCACCGATTATGTCTTTGAATATTTTTTTATCTGCTAATGAAAAGTATAATATAGGTGATAATTACGAATTACAAATGTTTCGTAGAAAGTATTCCTGGTCTAATTATTTTAAAACCGTGTCTAGTATTTCCAGAAAAACGCTCACATTATTATTTGAACTGATGACGTCGACTTTATAGGATTTATATTTTCTCGTTTTGTAGAAAGAAAAAATAATTATTATACAATTTGACACTATAATATTTTTTCGACACAGACAATTTTATCGCATAGTTTATTGGAGATAAACCACGGAAAAACATAGTATAGGTTCCGAAGTATGTAAAATACCTTTACACAACAATTTTGTAATTGTATCAAAACGCATGAAATAAAAATGGTCTGCTTTTGGTCGAAAATTTATAAAATAAGGTTAGGTTAGGTAGTAAAGGGTACAAATAATATAGATATTGCAGTATCTACTTCTATCGAAGCGATAACTACAATTGCACACAGGTGGGTTATATATCCGTTCCCTATATACCTAATATAATATATATTCATATCATCACATAATTACGCCGAATATAATGTAATAGTAAATACCATATACGTGACCACGTGAGTGTGCTGTAATAGACATGGGCCTGTCTGCAGTTCGCATTGTGTTATAATATTTAATATTTTCATTTATATCCAATTATTATTCTACTTGTACGGTATATATAAGATCAGTATGATCCACACGAAACCGTATGCCTATAATACAACACAACACCTATGACATGCGTACTCGTCGATACATCGTTTTCGGAATGTTTAATTCATTTCGACATTAAATCATTATGCCGTTAAAAATCTATACAACTACACAATATTTGAACTGCGATGCTCGCTGATAATGACACCGCGGAGATATAATATTATCATTATGCATACAAAAAATACCTGTTGTATGCAACTGTTAATTCTATGCCCAATAAGACTTTTACAGTACCTACTAGTTTGAGATTATTGAAAAGCAAATGACTTGTAGTTATAACCTATTTCATATAAAAATAATCCATATAACCCGATAACCGTGATATGGGGGGGGGTCCTGATATTTGCTGACACATTTAACATAGTAATAAGTAGGTATTTTTAAAAATGTAACGCAAAAATGAAAAAAGTGGTATATGTATACATACGTATTTACTCAAAAATATCTGAGAGGACTTTAAACAATTCTGGTGAAGGGAGGGTAGGCTACAGCCTCAAAGTCGCACATATGGCTATAGGTACTGATGATGTATAGTGTTTAGTGTTCATACTTATATTAGCTATTCTGATGACTTTCTATTTTTCAGTATACACACACCTAATATAATATAGCCTATAGGTACTCTATATAATTATGTTTTCAAACACGACCGCAACCCCTGAATTGTAACACTACTACTCGAGGCATCCAACTCTGCAAACTAAACGTCAATTTTTTACTCTTTATTATCGCAACATAAGTAAAGCAATAGAGTAATATATAACTATATAACTATATAAGTGTGTAATACAACCGTACATAATGTTATATATAATATATTATGTATGTATCGATGTTTAAAAAATACTTAACAAATTTCATCTATTATTAGCGTGGTATGCTTGTCACGTAAAATACAATTTCAAAGCATCTACGAAACAATAATATACATAATAATATAATGCTTGGCTGCGTAGCGTTTTAAGATTTACGAGTATATAGTAACTTGTAAGTATATAACATTAGCGTGGTGTAAATACGTGTGTCTCAAATATTTACACTATTTATATAATAAACCTAACTGTTTGTCGGTCTAAAAAACGCGAGTGAGTTAATATTTACAATACGTCGCAGTCAACATAAAGACTGTATCCCGTAATTGTATAGGATGATTCTGTTATCGCGAACCAGACAATGTCTATATTTTTAGTTTTCAGATTGAAGAAAAATGATACTCGCTATCCGAGGAAATATTTTGAAAAACTTATATTTAAAGAGTATAATTTTTTACTAAACTTGGTTTAAAATACATTTCAATTTAGCGGGTATTGCAGAATCATAATTTGTTCATTATACAATATACATAATATGTAAAGCATATAATATTTGGATAATTTTTAAAGGCATATCATCACTATACGTCAGCATACATATTCGGTTGGTGCTCAGAGCATTTAATTCTCGGCTATTGTTATCAACACGATACATACATTACAATGTGTTATCTAATACAATATGTTGTATGTGTATAATATATAATTGTTGTATACCTCTTTTGGTGGTAGTGCATTGCCGCTTGCTGTCCGTCGCCCAGGCGCAAGAACTTGTGGAATCGTCGTATACTAGACCGGGTGGGCACGGCATCTCGTTGGCTTTGCCGTCCACGCAGTTGACGAACTTGTCGCAGACACCCTCGTCCCAATGCCTGAAGTAGCCGTTGGCCCGAGGACAGCCTTTAGATGGTTTCGGTTCCTCTGTGCAGGGATTAACAACGACATAAGTAAATAATAATAGTAATAATAATAATAATAATAATTATTATTATTATTATTCTGTTTGTGCGACGAAATAAAAACTACAATTATATTATGTATATAAGGTCATTATTAGAATTTTGCATTAAGAGAGCATGACAGGTAGTGCGGGTGATGGTAATCACGTTGAAAATCGAATAAATGCGCCATGCTTGATCTCCGCCAGTAATGTGACCACAAAATTCGAACACTTAGTACTCACTTATACAATATTATAAATTCTGCCTACTTAACTGTATTCGGTGTAGGTATTACAGATATAGTTGGGAAAAAGTGGTGCATTTCTGTTTGCTTTTCTCATCCACACCATATTGAGGTATTGTACATAGAGGACGAGAATAAGATATAGGTACGTTATAAAGACCCCAACTCAAAAAATGTAAGTTTTGCTAGAGAGGGTTTTTAAAGTTTAATACTTTTTATGAATTGTCGGTAACTTAAACCAACATTTTGAGTATGAAATAAAAATGTGGTGCTATTATATAGAATAAAGTTTTTCAATAAATTCATGAAAAGGGGTCAGTAGTTGTGTTGTTTTTAAAAACTAAATGTACGTTTTTTAAGAATAAATATTAGAGATACGGTCGTATTGCATCATTTAATTTAAATTTTAATATTACTCAATCTAATATAATAAATTATACATTATTATACCATACATTGTAATAATATATTTTAACTAAATTTAATTTTTAATTTTTTTTTTTTGATTCATTTGTTTTTATTCAATCTGTTACAAAAAAGAAAAATAATAAGAACAATTGATGGTTAAGGTTGAAATAAATAAAAATAAAAAATAAAAAGGCAGATTAGACGGAATGTATAGAGGCCTCCCAGTGGAGGTACTACGACATGAGTACAATTTTTAATTTAAACTAAAAATTCCGATGGGCTAAAGTCAGAATATTAACAATACTATACTACACTAATACCATACTATACTTTTTATCAAGTACATATTAGATATTATATATATATTAGGCTGTATTTAAAAATGTAATATTGCCGTATTGTCTTAAAAATATAATATTACATAAAAATAATATTTAAATTTATATTTATATTATTATTCTAGGATATTCAGTAATAATCTAGCAACTATAGTGCTTGAAGTTGTATCCACTTAATCAATAAAAAAATTATGCCATAAACCATATTATTGTAATAAATTTAATTTCACAATGTACCTATAGGTAGATAATGCCAAACTAAAAAAGAGGAATTTATTCAGATATAATACAAAACATACAGTTTAAAAATGTTGAGTTGTAGGTCTTTGTATGGGTGGCAATTACCAGCTCTATAATATTATTATAGGCACACTATAATATATCAGCCTTTTTGAAAAAAAATTATCACCGTTCTACATTAATTATGGGCTGGGCAGCTCACTAGTTCGCCCACTGACACTTTTTGACACGTTTTCACTCTCAAGTGTGCATATTATATTATGTTGTTGTGCGATATCGATCGGTTCGTAATACAACCGAACGGTCAAACACGTCATGCCGATGGAAGTTACACACGGTTATAACTCACAATAATAATATTATCATATTATATGGACGACCGTACACATATTATTTATAATAATATATTAGCTGCTGATGCGATTTAACACTTACGCTGAACGGTCCTCTGGCCGCAGTCCACGTTTACGGACGTATCGCATTTCTCGTGACTCGGGCTGGAGTCGTCGAACAGCAGTCCATCGGGGCAGAGTTTTTCCTCTAGTTCGCCGTCCACGGAGCAGTGGTAGTACAGGTCGCATTGTATCTGATCGGCGTAGAACCCTGGTTTCTGGGGACATTGGAATTCACCGCGGTTGTTCTGTTGCTGTCCGAGCGCAAGGCCTACACGTTATATTTTATTATTATATGTACAGGATAATATGTAGAATGGGGGGGTTGAGGGTGACGATAAAAGTAATTTCTCTACTGGTATATATATATAAATGTAATTATCGACTGATTGTTACGTCAGAAATCGATTAATAGTACGATTCGTCGTCATCAGCTCGGTCAGACGCACGAATTTAAGGCGGAAGTTGCACACATAATAATTTAATAACATGACGTACTCTACATGAAGTAATTTCAATGTTATTAATTTTTATTGTGTGGTCGTCATTGTAATTAATTATCTAGTCACCGGGAAAACGATAATAGATTTAGGCAGAGTCAGATTAAAAAAATAAAAATTATAATAATATTTCCAACTCTGAAGCAATCGGTCTAAATCTGCTTCTGGAAATGAAGTTAAGTTAACTACTACAGAAATGCCTACATATCATACAGGGATATTAAATTACGAGTACAGGGAATTAATACGAATTTACGATTTTATATAACATGATGGGACTAGGCAGAGAAATTCTTTATACGAATATCTTTATGCACGTTTATGCACGATATAAAATATATAAAATAGATGATGAGTACCTTTATAATAGTATGTATAATATTATTATTTATAGTTTAGGTATAATAATATGCGCAATTATTGCAGTATACCTATACGTGATATTATTAGCTTAACGATGTACACCCCGATTATAGTAATGTTTATATACACACATGCACAGGTGGTTATCAGAATTTTACGTTACTAGACTGGATTGTATAGTAATTTTTAATAATTATTATAATATGCAATATAGATAATTAAAAAAAAAATTTTTTTTGTTGAAAGGTTTTATTATAAACCAGTTTAGTTTTGACAATATAATATATTAAAATATAATTTCGACGACACCACCGTTCGTACGGTATACCGCGGTATATCATCAGTTGGTACCTTTATATATTATTTTATCAGTTATAAATCTTTATATACCAGCCATATATATTATATATAACCCCGTATAGGTACTTACCCACGAACAGAACAAGCACAGCGGCGGTAGCGGTCGGAGCGTGCAGAACCATGGTTGGTAAAAGGCGAGCGGATTACGAATGGACCGGGTCTTCGGGCACGTATTATAGCCAGCTATAGGTATACTCGTCGCGGACGGAAGACGAAAAACTAGTCGAAGCCCCCGCGTGTGACTTGTCGCGACCTCTGTTGTAGTGGTGCCGGCGACTTGCGGACAAAAGGTTTTTGAACTCCTATGCGCTACAACACAACAATATTATAATGCACGCACGTGATGATTTTCAATGGGCCCGTGTGAGAACTGCAGCACTCTGCGCGTGTTATAATAATAATAATAATAAAATAATATATGGACGCACAATGGGAGATACGTGACGAAATACGGTGACTCCACAACCTATGCTCCGAACGATTCTTCGACGAGTGTAGTTATGCGCATTACAGTGCACCTGTATCGCCTGTACATATATATATATATGTATACTCGCATAGGCCGCCTCCTGCCTATAAGCTTTAAGACTCGTATATCCGGCTGTTCGAACACTCTGCGGAAATCGTTAGCGTGTAATATTAGAATTTTTAAAATATTTACTAGAATCTCATCTCCATAATAATATAATAGGTGTAATATTATTATGTAAATTGTCGGCCATCACTATTCAGATGTTTATAAGAAATCCGTGGGTGACCGTGAATCATATAACAGCAGCCGCTTGGCTATCTATAGTACTGCAGTACGTATACCTAATAACCAGGGCTCGGGACTTAAAGCACTTAAAATCATTAAAATAAGCGCTTAAAAACATCATTATAAGCACTCAAATAAGCATTTAAAAAACTTAAATTTAAGCAAAAATATTTATTAAAAAAAAAAAACAATAAAATAAAAATAAAAATTTATCTTTATACTATAAAAAAAATTAAACTTCATTTTCAGGACTGAGGATTTTATGGATTTTCCATGGGATTTTCTGAAAAATAAAATGTAAACAATATTTACAAATAGTTGAAAAAAAATAATTTTTTAATAAATTTTAATAAATTTTTTATTTAAATTATTTTTAATTTTAATTCTATCAAAAACAACTTTGCAGTAGAAAACCATAAAAAAGTATGAAAACTGGTCAAAAAAGCAATAAATATCATAAAAACTTGAAATAAGCATTTTTTTGAAAAATCACTGAAAAAAGCAAAAAAAAGCACTCTCAAATTTCATAATTGAATGTGTTGTAACATGATATACACTTCTATAGTACTCTGCTACATTTTATGTCAATCTAAAAAAATAAGCAAATGCTTTAAGTCCCGAGCCCTGCTAATAACAATCTAAAACCGTATAATATAATATTATGTTACACAAAGTTAGTTATTAGAAAAAACAAGCGGCGATAGACACCCTGTATAATGCACACACACACTCTGGATGGCCGCTGGGTAGACGTCTTATATTCGATTTCCTGACAATGCGTTTTACACGCCGTTTAAGGGCATATAGGTAACACGGGCGTAACCAAAAACACCGAAAGTGACCTTTACATATTTGTATTAGCCCAACGGCTGTACGTACATAATAATATCCTAATTTAAAACTACCTGTATTACGACGTCCAACGATATTTTTATGTCCGCCTATCCAGGAAAATAAAATTAAACGAATATTCAATTTGATAAAAACTATTAACGAGTAATTTATATTTACGGGTTGTCTTTGACGATAAACGACTATCACCCAGAATTTTAATTGACGTATAAATGTCTAGTGGTTATTACGAGAATTTTAAGCAGATAATAACGACGTCTGGCAATGTCATTGTTGTTTGAACACATTATCCCGAGACTCGATATATATATATATATATATGTATGTAATACGTGCGTTTACCGGCTGTATTATTGTGTAGTTATTGTTTTCGAATTGATTTACGAAAAAAAAAAAAAATACATGTAAAATATTTATCCCTCAATTTTTTTATAATTTTTTTTTATAATAACTAACACGTGTACGAGGTATGACTAATGGAAAATTGTGTGGATTAAACAAGTTTTCACATCGTATTAAAATCAAGACACCTTTATGTAGTTGCGTCATAAAACCAGTGCAACACTTGAATTTGGTGAAAGCTGTATAGTAGAAACTGGACTGGAGGCGTTTAATTTGAGTATTAGTATAACTAATAATTACATAATTTTAACTATATCAAAACAAAGACATTAAAACAGGTCTGATACATTACTAAAATAAATTATCTAATTAGAAAAAAAATATTCAACACGTAAGTACCTATACGTTTACTTATTTGGCTATAGGTACCTATACACTTTTATTTCGTAGCGTTTGTATAAGTTGAGTCCATGAAAGTTTAAAATGTGACTTTCACCTTTTTTAGTTTTTAAGAACACCTATTCTAACTAAATTATAATATGTTAATATTATAATTTTCATATTGGTATAACATGATATAATAATTCTGTATTCCTTCGTTATGACTATGAGTTGTTATTATTTATTGTAGATATTATTCACGATTAAAAATAGTTGTGTATAGGTAGGTACATACAATATTGTAACATTGCATTGCAGTTTACAATTAAACTTATTTTCTTTCTTTAATGGTATTATATTATTTTATATTTTATTTGTTCAAATACAATATATACCTATGTATGTCTAATATTTTTAAATTATAGGCATAAATATAATTTTAATACAATTGATACGTATGTTTTATACCGAGAATTTAATTTAACATAAATAGTTTGACTTATATTATAATATATTCATACCTACTTATTTTAGCCAATTTCCGTAACTAAATTACTACAACATTATATTATAATATTCCGAGGTTGAAGAATAAATTAATGAATAGCTTACAATAGGTGTTAGATTTTCCAAGAGATTGTTTCTGGAATAATACCTAATAAAAAAAAAACAATGCAACAAAAGTAATTGTAATAAAGTTAAATTTTATTTAGTATTACATCATAGTATGTATTATGCATATATATATATATAAATTCGTAACAATAATGATTTTAAATTTGACTTGGTATAAAGCTATACACACACATATATATATATAGTAACTAAAAGTATACATTTAATATGAATTATATTATGTTCAAGAAAACAATGCGAAACTACTATTGTTTTTTGTTCTTGTTCTGTTGCTGCTGTTGCACTTGTGGATCGTCTTTGTACCAATTCTCGCTGGAAAAAAAAACAATACGATTTTATTACTTTGTACCTACATACCGTTATACGTATATTATATAGTTATAATAACAGTACGAAAACCAAACGCCCAAACGCGCCATTACGCGTAGATGTGATGACATAGAAACAGGCCGTTTCGATTATAACTTTATCATTATACTATAATATTATTATCTATGTGACCCGTGATAAATTGATATAATATAGAATCCGGAGATATAGTTATTGTATATACACTCACCATCCAGCCACGTTTTCGGGTTGGTCACACTTTTGTGACTCCTCGTTGAACACTTCGCCGGTGGAACAGCCCTGTTCTCGGGGGGTGATGCCGTTGAGGCACACGTAGAACTTCTGACAGTCGTCCGGGTGCGCGAACACGGGGTGAGCTACGTTCTGACCCCGGCTGTTGAAAGGCTTATCTTTGGGGCACGTGAAGCCGTCTTTCAATTTCACTATAATACGCACAGTAAAGAACACGAATTATTTAACGATTTACAAGCCACCACAGCCACCGCCACCCGGATCTGGGTTTCGGGGGGATGCAAAACCACGTGTTTGATTATTATTAAGTCGTGAGTGCCTTACTGTCGTCGGATTCGTTGCAACCCGTCCTGCCGGCCGTTGCGGGCCAAGCGCACGATCCCGCGTACTCATCGAAATGCAATCCGTTGGGGCACACGATTTCCGTGCCGTCACCCTCGATGCAGTTGTAGAATATGTTGCACACCTTTTCGTCGGGATGCGCAAAGTACCCGTTACGCCTGGGGCACAAGTAGCTGGGCTGCGGGTTTTCTGCACGTTAAAAGTCCACGTTATATTTTATTATCATAATGATCATTTTATTAGAATCCGAGTAAACGGACACAGCGGTATACGCTGTTGACGGTATAGGTACTCACGGAGTTCGGATCTTTCGCCGCAGTCCACGCTGAACGGCTGGTCGCACTTGTTGATCTTCCTGTTCAGCGGGTCGAACACTAACCCGTCAGGGCACAGTTTCGTCGTGGCCACGCCGTCTTTGCACTCGTAGAACTTGTCGCATTGCACCGGGTCCTCGTACTGGCCGTTCTTCTTGGGGCATTGGAATTGTCCATCTGTGGGCGAAGAGCAAAAAAATCAAATCAAATGAACCCGAAAAATAAAATGTACAACTCTCTGGGGAGGTTTTTTTTTTTGGTTCGAGTATATTGCATAATATAAAAAATCGCCGTGAAGTGCCAACGAACGCGACTGCGGAAGCACGGTGAAAGTGAATTCCGCTCGACGACCAACTCGGCTCAGTGGGTGTTAAAATATCGTATACCTACTTACCGAAAAAATCATCTAAAAAATTTTGCAAACAACAAACGTCATTTATCTAACCTATCACATCGGGTGGGCATCTCAACCAAAATATTTTGGAAAATTTAAGTCGACGTTACTAAAACATTAAATTTTTTAAACATAATACCCGAACGATATCGTAAAAAAAAGGATTTCGTTTTGTTTTCCTCGAATTTTATATTTTACACACGAATAGACCGCCGGTGATTATATGAATAATAATAAAATTGTTATATTATAGTATTTAGTTGATATAAGTTATAAAAATATATAATAATTATTAAGTCTTACTTGTTAAATGGGATATTCCAATAACTATCGTGCACAATACTATTGAGAGGTTCATAATTGAAAACTTAATGCGTGATGATATGTGCAAGCGACTGCGGCCTCGGCGGAAGAACAGGAAACCATTCCATAGTTTCTCCCACTTACCGATTGCTGCCTCAAGTAGTCACTTACTGGCGTGGATGGGAAATCTGAGGTGAATAAAAATTGTTCGAAGAATCGATTTCGTTTCGAGGTTTTTCAACCGTAGGTACCGCAGACTCGGAGGCACTGTACACAATTTCTAAACAATGTGAATGTTGCGTTCGAATAATATAATATCTATAATAGTATACGAAATAAGCGTATTACGATTGACGATGGATTATATAATAAATTATAATATTTATATTACATGGTCATTCTATAAATGGTCATTTCCTAGTTAAATCTATGTATTTTTGAAAATATGTGTTTTTTTCAAAAACTTGAAGTATTTACAACACTAAGATAATAAAGAAAAACATTTTTTTATCGCTTATAGTTTAGTAGTGCACCAACATTTACGAGATACTCTAGTGCCACCCCACTCAGTTCATGTTAAATCTAAATTAGTAGGTACTTACAGTTTTCTATACTTGTTTGATAGGTACTCAAATTGTTTACATTATAATTCTTAGAAAAATATTGTGCTGTGGAATAAGAAAATAAAAATGTATTTACTTTTAACTTTTAAGAAAGTAAGTTTAAAAACGTAACATGTATTTCCAAAAAGAGAAGTTGAGTGATAAAAAATCATACAGTAAACAACCTGATTTATCAAGCATGACCACCCCTTTTTTCTTTTCAAATTATGCAGTTAATTAAAATCTGATTTTAGGAATTTTTAAATACCTACCTACATATTATAGAGCGTATATTCAAATTCTTGCAATTTTTTTGTACTTCTTAAGCAGTGTCCTTTGATAATACAATTTTCTATTTTTCAAAATATGAGAACCTCCTATTTTCACTGTAAATTATGTAGTGGATAATTTTATATATATTATTCAAAATTCTGATAAGTCGTTTTTCATAAAAGTACTTAAAAACAGGTTTACAAAAATATAAAATAGATGCAATTTTGGATCCACTTAGAATTTATTATATTTTTATAAGTTATAAATATTAATTTATGCCTTTATCTTCCAAACCCATTATCCTTAGTACACAGAGTTAAATAATTCTAAAACTACTCGTTCAAGTTTTGATTTTGAAATTGCCACGTTTTTAGAAAATTTATCCACTAAATAATTTACAATAGAAAACGGAGATTGGTTATTTGAATAACAGAAATTTCTATCTCTACAGGACTCTCCTTAAGTTAAAAAATCTCAAGAATTTTAAAATACATCGTTTATAAGTAGGCATCTACCTATATTTTAAAATTCCAACAATCATATTTCCAAGGATTGCTAAATTGAGGAAGAAGAAAAAGAGGTGCATTCTTAATGAATCACCCTGTATATATGTTGTAGGTACATAATAGTGACAACGAACTACAACAATACGCAAAGTGCGCAGCTGGGTTCTGGACTTTTAGAGACCCACTAATTTGTCACTGTCACAATTTATATTATTTTTGTGTACACAATATGCGATGAGACAATAAGACCTTTTACAAAATTAAAAACTAAAAGACTAATATATTAGGACGTAGGACCTGTTTTTAATTATTATTTTTTTCATGATATATTTTACGAAGGTAATATGTTTATTAATAAATAAGAGAGGTTAAACGTAAAACCTTTTACTCGCCAACGGTTAGAATGCCACTAAAAATGTAGCTTAAAGTTACATTTAAGGCACACACACACATACACTTTTCATTATTTGTTCATGGTTAAATCACACTATTAATTACATTATAATATAGTATGTCCACGTCCCCACGCTAATACAAATTCTGCATTGTATATTTTTATGCGAAATCGTATGAGTATGATTTCGTATATATAAATATATAATATATTGTACACTGATTGCCTTCGATTTTCAATGACAATTTTCATTCCAGATTTTTTCTTTACACGGGCACAAGAAAGAATAAAGATACCTACTGCAGATATTCGTTTGAAAACATATATTTGCATAAAGAAAAACCGTGCACTAGCCCATGGTATATGCGGATAACATTACGTAATATAGGTTTATACCTAGTTAATAGTTTAGTACAGTTTTTTTCTCGAACGACCCTGTACACGTCTACATAGACTACGACGATCGATATTTTTTTTTCTTAGATTTATATACTACCTATAATAATAATACAACAACCTATTATAAGTACTGAGTATAGGTACAACAAGGATATAGAATACCCAGAGCGTCTCTTGCTTCCACGGTTACCATGGTTATCAATGTCATCGATTAATTTTCTTGAATCGTATTTTTTAGATTGACGTAAGTATAGGTATTTGCACATTTAATTTTAATTTAACATTCAATTATTTCAATTACTACCTATAATGGTATAGTAAAACAATAAAATATAAGTACCTACTAAGTAGGTACAACAAGGATATGGAATACCGCCCAGAGTACATCCGACTCGACTCTTGTTACCACGGTTTCCACGGTTACCACGGTTACCAATATCATCAATAATTTTCTTAAATTGTATATTTTGGTTTTAATTAAACGTTCAATTAGCAAATATTGCCGTAAACTAAATTATTTAGAGTATTTCATATATATTATATATATGTATATGTATTTATTATATGTACCTACTTTATTAATTCATATTTGCTATGATGGCGTAGATGTACCGTGAAAATGATGTCGAATTGAGTATTTAAATCTCAAATCGTTGTACGATGAATCATTTTCTCTACAACCCGAGGACATAGACATACTAAAAATTGCTTGTTATTGGCCATTAAAAATATATTAAGATAATATTATGAATAAAATACCTGGTATAAATATTTTTAGTTACATATAACTGCTAACAGATGTACTTATATTTTTAACCAATGTTATCGATGTATTAGTAGTTTTCGAAACTTAGCTAAAATTAGTTAATTTACTTTTTTAAACTTTTTAATTCTAATGATAATATCTGTTGAATCTATTTTCAAGATTTCTATTGGCCAGTCGTCCACTATCCGTCAACGTAAACTTTCACCGAATACCATTTGGCATTTTGTTCTCATAAAAACACAAGAAGAATTTTGATTTTGTGTTTTTAAAATAAACTATAAATAAGTATTAAAATAAAATGGTCCTTAAAAGTTAAACGATTCAACTTTAATCCAACGAAAAACAATAAGCTTATAATATTTGTAAGCAAACGCATGTCACTTATTATTACATTTTTTTCTCAAAAATAAATATTATGTACAAAAACTTGCAGCAACTATTCCGGAGTCTGAACTCTATAGTAATTAGTAGAGTTTCGCGCACTTTTTATTTTCTTCTTAAATTGTCTAACCTTATAAACAATTTTTACTAAATTTCGGTGAAATTGTGTTATTAAGAATAAAGATGTCGGAGAAGTGTTTATCTTTCAAAATACCTTGCAAAATAAAATGAATAATTAATCATGTATGCGTTCTTGCAGCGTAGAGTTCTGTAGATATACCTTACCTTATACCCAAATCAGCTGCAGTGTATAGCGTCATAGCACGAGTATTTATACAATCATTTACATTTTAAGCAGACATTATGGTCAAACGGGTTGCATGTTGACATTTAAAATTGTTTCGTTTATTAACGAAACAATTTTATGACCTAAATATCGAATAAAAACTATATTATTTAAATACCGCAAAAGTATAATAAATAAAGTCTGCATAGATAATGCGTGTATTTGTATTATATAGTACACTCGTAAGTTGTAGTTAATTATAATTATTATAACAAGCACATTATATTATATAATTATTTAACATTCAAATGAAGAACAAGCGCAGGTGTCATTTATCGTGAAAATATGTCATTTATTTTTCACTTCGACTTAATGTCCAAATGAGATCAGTTTTCCTGATACAGTTATTGAAAATATCGAATTACAAAGTTACAATTAGTCAATTATTCATTCGTCGTCTTCTGCCACGGTTCGTTTCGTAGTCGATGGTCTTGACGGCTTCCGTCTGGCCGCCGCTGCCTCTTTCTCCTTGGTTGTCTCTTTGGGTTTTGGATTCTCGAGATTGTAAAGTTCTTCGTCTGTCAGTACGCCTCTATACCAGTCGGCACTGGAAACAAATTCGTCACGATAAATCATTATTATCGCAGTACACGAGAAGTCAGCAACCCATGCATAATTTATACTGAAGCCAAAGAAAAACGTTCCGGCTTTCGAACTACCATTACGGTTAATAATTCGCGTCTGTTATATAATCTACATAATATCATTATTGATAATGCACTCGACCAACGTTACTCCGTCCGTTTTCGTTCACGTGAAATCTGTCCGTTGACGATTACGACAGTTATGTAACGATATTTAGCGACCGCAAATATATATAGTCCACAATAATATATATTATACTTGTCTTTATAAAGACGAGATCGTTTTTCGAGGCTTTTATTCTATAAATAACGTAGTTTTTTTTTTTTTTTACTCTTACCACTCGGGAACATTTCTCGGCCAATCACATTTTCCCGACGCTTCGTTGAACACCTGTCCCATTTTGCAGCCGTTTCTCCTTGGCGTGTCGCCGTTAACGCAGACATAAAAAAATTGACAGTCCTCGGGGTTTGCGTATCTGGGATGTTGCAGCGCAATCTCCGAAGTCACGTTGGGGCATCGGAAATTGAACACATCTACACAATACGATACCAATATGCAGTTCAATAATCGGTCATAAAGAGCGTAATATAATAATAATATTAAGTACCCTGTGGCCATAATATTAGTGTGCGCGGTGGCCGATGACGACGTGGTCGTTTAACGGCAGTATAATATAATAATATTATATTTTACTATATTATAAACCGTTTCTAGCATAATATTTTAGTTTGGTGTGGTTTATATTATATTATTATTATTATTGTGTATACGTTTAATTACATAAATAAATATATATATATATATTTTCGATAAACGATTTACCAGAAAGAAAACGATTTTATAGTACCGAATATATAAATAACCATGAAAAAAGCCGAGCTGCAAAAATAAAATAAATCGCCGGCGGTGGGAGTTTAGCGCGTTTACCACGTATTTTGATACCGGTCCAAAATCTCGTGCCCATTTTGGCAGTTCAACAAACATTAACATATCCCGCGTCCGTGTGCGGATTGTGTGGTTTTTTCTCTGCGGTTTATTATAGCGTATCCCATGGCCGGAAACGGAATAACGCGGTTACAGAAATAGTGGCGAATTTCTGACAAGTTTGTCGCGGGAAAAAAATTACTAAATTACCGCGATGCGCTTTCGAACGCTGCAGTGTGGGGAACAGATGAAAATATTATATATATTATTATATTATATATATTATTATATTATTATATTATTATATCATTATATTATTATATCATTATATATTTACCTTGCGACGAGCATCCTTTTTTCTTGGCCTCGTCTGGCCACGTGCATATGCCAGATTTCTCGTTGTACACTAAGCCGCCCGGACACGTGATCGCGTTAAATTTACCGTCCACGCAGTAATAAAACTTGTCGCAAATTTTTTGATTCTCGTGCGCGAAATAACCATTTTGTCTGGGACAATTTTCGGCCGGTTGAGGAGTCTCTGGAGAAAAAAATAAATATAAATTCAATTAATGCGAGTTATACCTTCATATATATTGTAACGTCTTAATACAAATACATAATATTCAATTGTCCCGACGGTCGTCTCGATCGACGTTACAATATTTGCTATACAGTTTTTTTCTAGTTTATACTGTCAAACTTTACAATTCGAGCGAGTTGACTCTCGTAAAATCAATCATTTCGGACGGAAAAGTTTTTGTAAGAACACAATCGTACATTATACACACGTCTTGTAGTTTGTACTTTACACTCTCGGTTATTTAGCCGTATATCGGCGAGAAAACTGTCGGTATGATATTTATGGAGCTAAAACAGATATTTTAATGTCCTAACAGCGCTGTACACTTTGTTTGGAATACTAAAAGTTACAAATTAATTTATACGAATAAACGTTCCGGGATCGATTTATTATCGGACATAAAAACTGTCATGGTTTTATTTATCATATCGCTGCGAATGTTTATTAACACATTGCATAATATTTGGTGTATTATAAACCGCACGCGTATGCCAAAAATTGTTTATTCCACCGTTATGATTATAACAGTTGTAGTATATTTTGTAATTTTTTTATTATTACCATTAAAAAGGAGAGTTAAAAAAAAAGAACTTTATTTGTCCATAACTGCACGTGGACGTGGTTGTTCGAATGTAATAATTATTGTTAACATTTAATTCGCTATTAGAGTTTTCGCAAAGAAAGGAAAAAACGAACGTTATAATTATTATTTGCTGTCGTTAAAAATTCTCAATGTTATACGGTGCGCGTATTAAAGGTGCAGTGCAGTGTATAATTAATAACGAACAAATGGACAGAATATTATACGATTTAATTGATGTGTATATGGAAATTTCATCCTTGAAATTTCTCGAAAGTTGAATATAATAATATAATATCACGTCATATCGGACCGACAAACGATGTCGCCGCGTTAAAATAATAATAATAATAATAATATTAATATATTCTCGGAATTTTAATGGTTAATACATATATTATTATACGAATAGGTCTTACATATTATATTATAACTAGCGTGGACTGATCTAACTTTTACACGCCCTCGTCTGCTTCCTCGATATTTGTACACCGCACTGTACGGTTTTGCGGTGTGCTGCAGGTACAATATATTATGTTATAATATATTATTATTATTATTATTATAGGTACATTATGAGCGTATATAATATAAGTAATAATTGTATGACTGCAAAAAGACTTGCTCTGCACTTGGTCGTACGATTTTACGTAATAAAAGCCACTGTTGGCGTTTCAGGTACATGAAATACAAGTTATAGCACACATTATATATTATATAGTAACTGCTTGAAATAAAATATATATTTATACATACTCGTATGTATATAGCAACATAATCGTTCCTACATTAACATTATATATTATAATTATTGTATTGTATAATAACCCGGGCTGTAGCATATGTTGTAAGAAAATATATACTATTATTATATTATATTATAATCAAAACGGTCATAGGTTCGATGTTGTGACATTGATCACGATAACACAGGTTAGGTATCTGGTATAAGTAATAATATTATCGCCTTAAAAGTATAGGAATATCAACGTATATAAATGGTAGGTAATTTAGAATTTTCTAATCGTTTTGAATTCCTGACCAATGTCAACATAATATTTTGTCTTTTAAATCGCCGTTTATTTAATGTGTCCACACGGCCACACCTGAAACCCGTTTCGCCTTAAAATTTAAAATCGAAAATAACAAATTGTATTGCTACCAGGATTGTTAACAAGGAGTTTGTGTGACCATAGTCGGTATATTGCTGCTAAAGGCGTGTACTTCACTGTGCTTTATCCAAAGTAAAAAGTAAAAACGGCAGCTGATAGTCATGATCGGTTTCCGAATGATAATTTTAAAAGTTTACGTCAATTTTCCGATCTACCTCCGCTTGCGAATATAAACATCACACAGGGGCTGCCTTAATGCCTTATTCACGGTGAACACGACAACAATTTTATGATACAAAATTAAAACGTTAAAACCGAACGAAAATGCATAAAATTCCGTCCCCAAACATAATAATATTGTCTCCTGGATGGCTGATAATAATGGCTGATAAAATATATACATTTAATATTTACAGAATGTCTACTGTCTATAGAAAGCTTGGAAACGTTTCACGGTATACCTATACTCTTATGTGTACCTATATAGGTGCACCATATAATTATATTGCACCGTCTGCAAACAATATTGTTATAATAATATGTATCACACAATGTGTGCCCACACGACGTGGCGTTTGTATACATAATAATACAATAATAATATATAATACCTATAAATATCGTTTCTAAACTTTCTATACAATATTATACAGACCGTGCGCCGGGCCACGTACACAACAATATACCGACAATAATAATATAATAAAATTGCACAACGATCACGATTTATTATCATTTTGTACAGGTAATATAATAATAATATATGGCAATATTCTATATTTTATTATAATATTTGCACGACAGAATAAAACATATTATAATAATATTATTATTATAATCGAAAAAACTGCGTGACGCGGACGACGCCCGCCGCCGGCGCCGTCGCCATCACCGCGCGCCGCGTGTCTTTGCGCATAAAAACGCGCGCGCGCTATAATTACATCGCGTCGGCCGGCTCGAAAAGGTACGCCTAAAATAAGACGCGTCGGCCGCGTATACAGTTCGCGTCACACGGCCGTTTTTTCTTTCCTCTTCGCGCGCGTACATAATAATAATAATATATTTGTTGGCACAGCGTCCGCCGCAACTGTATTATTATTGTCGACCGCTCACAATAACTATAACTGCGACGATGGCAATAATCATAACGATACTGAATTAATATTATAGCGTAACATAACGACCCCTAGACAGCGGCTGACGACCACGCGCGGTCTCGATCGATATAGGGGACGACGACGCCCCAAAGAGAAATCACCGCGCGACAAACGGGTAGGTAATCGAGCGATCTACCTTTTGTGCCGGCGCGGCGCGACGCAGCGACCCACGCGACTGTCGGACTTTTAAATAAATATATATTTATATAAAATACGACGTCGGAATATTCTATTATTATCGTAAGTGCGCCAAGTCCATAATAATATCGGATATTTGCAGAACATCGACGATGACTACCGTGGTTATCGTTATACCCCAAGCATCTTGGGGTCGCGGTGAATTTTCCACCTCACACAGTTGCGGTATTACAATAAAGTTATTAAAACAATAACCATATATAGGCACAACGGAGACGCGTTTTTGCGCGATCGTCGATGATTTACCATGACGCTTGCAGGTGCGTCGTGGATCGGCCAAGTTTATTGGCAGAGCAATATTATTATTATTCCCTCAATTCGCTGCAGAGACAGTTATTCGGATATTTGTGCGGTATGAGTACATAGGGATCGGGGACAATATTAAACTCGTATATTATAATACTTGGATTGACATGGTAAATACATAAAATATAATGTATTATATCGTATAGGTACACAGAAGTATTTTTAAGTATTATTTTAGATTCCTTTTATCAAAAAAAACACGATAGTTTATTATGGATTTGATTTTTTAAAGATATTTAACGATTTACTTTTATAGAGTAAAATCTATATATTTCAACTTATTTTGGATCTGTAGAAGACTTGGAAACAAAAGCAATTGATTAATGTTCATACAGCTTATGCTTTAAAACTCGTGTTTCAGTATTTATATATTATTTTTATAGCGCTACACGATATTTAAAAATGTAATGAAACGATCAGTAATCGTGACAAGTATCAGCGGGTATCCTGAAAATGGAAAATGAGAAAATGGAATTCGAGAAACAGGAATTGTTATAATTTCCAATTTTCTGGTTACAATAATTACCTGTCAGCTGTCATTCTAATTTCCTGGTACGATATAGCCATATAGGGATACCATGACGACGTTTTATCCCGATGGATTTTACCCGTAAATCAAGCGCGTTTCACATGTTATTATAATGATTTAATGATATATAGTTACATAGTATAGGTTATTCGTAGGCGTTCTATATCAAAAGTCTCGATATATGTAAGCAATTTTTTTCTAGAGCTTACGGGAGAGTAGAAAAAATGTAATCACGACATGGACGTGCAATTATTCGGGTTTTGAGGTATCATATAAAAGCCGGTTGAGCATTTTGATTTCCGTAAAATGCGTCGCTCGTAAAGCGGGTAAGCCCGGTCAGGCTTTTGATATCGACGCCCAGGACAAGCATACTGTCTTATACTATACATATATATATATATTTAAGTATACTCACGCAAGGCGGGCCTTTGCGAACAGTCGATGTTCAGCGGCAGGTCGCACTTCTCTTGTTGCGAACTGTAATCGTTGAACACCATGCCGTCCGGGCACAGTTTCTCGGTGATCTTGTTGTCCGAGCACGCGTAGTACTTGTCGCATTGGCTGGCATCGGCGAAGAAACCGTTCGGCTCCGGGCACTCGCTCTCCTGCTGATCGGCCGCCTCTTCGTCCTCAACGGCGGTAGGCCGATGACGGGGCGCCGCCGCGGTCGTGGTTGGCGGTCGTTTCCTGCCACCAGTGGACTGACCGCTCAACAGAGCGACTGCGGAAACGATTCGGTTATTATTATTACTATTATTTATCATAATTTACGCCCGCACACACGACGATCTAGCAATTTTGTCATAATTCTCATAATATTATACAAGTATAGATGTGTAGTCGGTGTGCACACACACATAATAAAGGTATATTTAGGTTGTTTGCACCACTCAATCAATATCACATGTTTTAATTTTCACGTCAGCGAAACAGTCTGTGATGTTTCTCAGTATGCCCATAGTGAACCGTCAAATTGTACCTGTGTAGTGATTTATTCTATATCCTGTAAGTATCGTTCTCAAACGTTCAAATTATTATTTCTAACAGCCCCTTTTAAGACTATCATCCATTATTATATCAAACCGATCGGGAATGTACTGTTGTCCATATGGTTGCTGTGAATTTTATGTTGGTTATTGTGTTAAACGTGTTGAGATGTGAGTGTGCGGGATCACCACTGTTATTATTATTATATTCTTACACTTAACTACAGATCCCGGCACTCCAGCTCGCCATAATCTCATAAAGGTAGGTTGTGCACCAAAAAATATACAGCCAAATAGGCAAATAAGGGTTATATTATCATTTTATTATTATCATACTGTATTATATTAAAAGATATATTATATATTTTTTATACAAACCTAATTATACAGTCCACTACAAAGTACAAACATTTGTTAATATATCTTAAACATAAACATTTCGTCGCTTAATGTAGCGCTGTCTATAACTGAGCTGGAGCTGATATAGGCGCAAACAATCCAAGTAAGTACTGGAATCGAACATAAAAGAATAGGTTCTGGAATCGGAGCCTTTAAAATATTAAAAACCGAAACTTTTATTTTAATAAATAAAGTACCGGAACCGAACATGATTTTTTAAATAAAATAGGTTCTTTTAGGTTAAAAAATAAAATAATTTTAATTATCATAATTCAATGGTATTACTGTATTGTGTATAAAGTATGATCGCCGGACGAGGTTAATGTCATTTGTTTGGTCGACTCGTTTGTGTAACAATAAACGTTGTCGTAACTCCGATTTGCATAGCAGGATGGTAACCCATTGGGCAACAAAGAGTTATACAATCAATCAGTTGCTCAAAAAATTGATTTCAAAAGATTTAATGGAACTTGTAAAAACTTTGGTCGAAATATGTATTATACGCTGATCATTAATATAAATAAATCGTTAATTAATTGTATTTTATCTTCATACTTTTGATAAAAATATGAATTATTTCTGTTAAACTTAAATTCAGGTAAAATGTGTAGGTAACTAGTTCCTTTAATATGAAATTGATTTTAATAATACAATATACAATGAGTATAAAATTAGCATTGAATAATGAACAATTGCCATCAGGGGGAACAGGCAGTAATATTAATTCCATGCATTACAATAATGAATAAACACCATTGAACGAGCTGACAGAGTGAACTTTCCTGTTTCTAGGATCACAGGTTTGGACGGAGGCAAGTTTCCATCAGATAGTAAACTTAGATCTTTTCCATTCAGTTTAATCGTTCTAAAATCAATTTCTTGTATTAGATCAAATCTCTCGTATTTTTTTTTTAGGTACCTAATGAAAATTGAAAGTTAGTCATCTTGCCTGATTTTAAATGAGACTTATAATAAGACTTCTAATTAAAAATCTCATTCCTAAAAATTAGATCACTGCATCCGTATTTAATTGTTTTTTTTTTTTAAATAAAGAGTACCTGGATTGTAAATCGTCTGATGTGTGTGCGTATATAAATATTCTGGTTTTAGGAGTTGATCTGTATCCTTAAATTGAAATTTTCACAGGATTCATATAAAGGTGTATCCCATATACGGCGACGGCTGGCACTCTACTCACGAGAGATTTTTCAGGTGTGCAGTGAGCGTAAAAACGAATGTTTCCGAAATTATTTGAAGTTACTAGTTTTAGAACTTTGTTGGAAATGAATTTTTTGTATAGGACCCTCAACCACCAATCAGGATTTGGATTTAAATAGGGTCCAACCATGGCATAATGTCTACCAAGAAAGGATTGTCTGATTACTACTTGAAGACCTACATTTTCAGAATATTCTAATTTGTCAAGAAAGAGAAATCCAGCGACAAATCAGTCTAATATTACTGGCGTACCTCTGTCAAATGCTGTACTAGTTTCAGCTGTAACTAAATTTCAATAAATGAGTATTTCCCAACATCTCCAGCTGAATGATAATTTCTATGAAAATTATTTACAGCGCCACATTGGAGTTTTCTTCCCCGCACCATCAATAATATCCTACAAGGGTTTAATTTGCTTCGAGAGAATGTTGAAAACCTCAGGGTCCATGAAATCCTGGATTTAGCTTCTCTTCCATTGAGATAATATTGCTTTTTAATTTAAATAAATAATTTTCGTTCATACGACTTTCGAACAAATATTTATTCGAACAAATAATTTTTCGATTACATTACTATTCCAACAAATAACTTTTCTAACACAGAAATTTGAGTATTTGACCTTCGAAAACATGACATTCGAAGACACCCCATCCTTTATTTTCACACATGTACAACTCTTTGCTTTTCTAACCACATGAAAACACAACAAAAGTAACGTCGTTCCAATTTTTTATACCGGAAAGGTGAGTGATTTTTTATTGATGGAAAAATGAAACGACTGACTGATATATGACGATAGAAGTTTATTCAGATATGAGAAAGATGATAATGGACAATGGATCAAAAGATCCTATTAGAATCTTAATTTTCTCACAATTTATTGAATACATTACTTTTCTATTTTAGATTCTGAGTGAAACGATGAATGTATTGATTTTACAATGATGTGTGTGTTTTTTTTTTATTTTTTTTTTTATTTTTTTTGTATCTGTGTACACGATAAGTAGTCGAAATAATGCTTCGATTTTCGACTTCAGTATCTTGTTCGATTGGAAAGTGAATATCGTTGGTGCATTGAGGAGGTCAAAATTTAAAATTCCCAGTACTTTTCAAAAGCGCCAAGAAAAACAAAAGAAAAATTAAGGAAAAACGGGAATTTTTACGCAAAATCGATTTTTCAGAAAATTGAATTTGGTTTTTGGTGTAACTTTAAAACAAATGACCGTAGGTACATGCAATTTTCACTGGTTGTTTATATTTGCATCTTCTATACACGATAACATTTTCAAAATATTTTGATTTATTTTGAACAGTTTAGGGACATTTGCATTTTTCATTTTTTTTAGTTTTTTTTCTAGAAATATCAATAAAATTTTATTTGTTGGTTGCGAAAGCTTGAAAATTTAATAGAAGGCTCCTAATATATTGTTTCAAAGGCAGATGAAAAATATTAAAAATCCTTAGTCACAATTTTTTTTTATAAGCATTTAAAGTTCAAAAATTGACAAAATATGGAAAAATCACGAAAATTAGCAAATTATTTTGAGTTAAGAATTCGTAAAAATTTTTCCTTTTAAATCTAAGATTTGAAAATGTAATACAAGATATCTCATAAGTTTGTCTACCTGTATCAATAAAAAAATCTCTACCGGACAGTTAAATTAAATTTTTATGAGCGTTTGAAATTCAAATTTTTACAACATTGGTTATTCACTCGATTTCTCATGTAGCGATTTCCTTATTTTGTTGTAATTCAAAAACTAATAACTGTAGATACATGAAAATTTCACTGAATGTTTATATTAGCATTTCCTATACACCATACGATTTTGAAAATATTTTGACTCTTTTTGAGCTGTTTACGGACATTTTCATTTTTCAATTTTTTTAGTTTTAGATTCTGAGTGAAACGATGAATGTATTTTGATTTTACAATGATGTGTGTTTTTTTATTTTTTTATTTTTTTATTTTTTTATTTTTTTATTTTTTTATTTTTTTATTTTTTTTGTATCTGTGTACACGATAAGTAGTCGAAATAATGCTTCGATTTTCGACTTCAGTATCTTGTTCGATTGGAAAGTGAATATCGTTGGTGCATTGGGGAGGTCAAAATTTAAATTTCCCAGTAGTTTTCACACGCGCCGGGAAAAACAACATAAAAATTAAGGAAAAACGGGAATTTTTACGCAAAATTGATTTTCCAAAAAATCGATTTTGGTTATTGGTGTAACTTTAAAACAAATGAACGTATACCCTGTTCAAAATAAGAAGCGACCTGATTTACGCTTGAAAACCGGTTTTACTAGTGGCCGCCTGAATCGCTTCTTAAAATGAACAGACTATATATACATGAAATTTTCACTGGTTGTTTATATTTGCATTTTCTATACACGATAACATTTTCAAAATATTTTGATTTATTTTGAACTGTTTAGGGACATTTTCATTTTTCGTTTTTTTTAGTTTTTTTTCTAGAAATATCAATAAAATTTTATTTGTTGGTTGCGAAAGCTTGAAAATTTAATAGAAGGCTCCTAATATATTGTTTCAAAGGCAGATGAAAAATATTAAAAATCCTTAGGTAGTCACAATTTTTTTTTATAAGCATTTAAAGTTCAAAAATTGACAAAATATGGAAAAATCACGAAAATTAGCAAATTATTTTGAGTTAAGAATTCGTAAAAATTTTTCTTTTTAAATCTAAGATTTGAAAATCTAATACAAGATTACTCATAAGATTGTCTACCTTTATCAATAAAAAAATCTCTACCGGAAAGTCAAATTAAATTTTTATGAGCGTTTGAAATTCAAATTTTTACAACATTGGATATTCACTCGATTTCTCATGTGGCAATTTCCTTTTTTTGTTGTAATTAAAAAACGAATTACTGTAAATACATGAAAATTTCACTGAATGTTTATATTAGCATTTCCTATACACCATACAATTTTGAAAATATTTTGACTCTTTTTGAGCCGTTTACGGACATTTTCAGTTTTCAATTTTTTTAGTTTTTTTTTTCTATAAATATCAATTAAGTTTTATCTGTTGGGCCAAAAAGTGTAAAAATTTAATACAAGGCTCCTGATATATTGTTACAATATCAGTTGAAAAATATTAAAAATACATAGGCACAATTTTTTTTTATAAGCATTTTAACATCGAATTTTGACAGAATTTTTCAAAATCTCGAAAATTATTAATCATCGTAATTAATAAATTATAAAATGTTCAGTTTTTATAGCTAAGGATTGAAAATTTAAAACAAGATTCCACGTAAGTAGTTAATTCTCTTACCGAAAAATCTAAAAAATATACAATCACAGTTTATTTTTATAGTCATTTTATGTTCAAATTTGGACGAAATTACATATTAAAAAACCTAGTTATTTTGTTGTGATTATATAATATTATTCGTGGGTACCTACTTGAAACTTCTAAAGTGTACTATTATATATCTATGATAGTATCAGGGTTTGTTATTGATGTTGATGTATAACGTGTTATAAGTACCTAATGGATATTGTGATAATGTGATATGATTAATTTGGAATTTATTATAGGTCAATTTTTTTTTTAATACCATAGATATGTATATAATTTGTCTTAAACCTAGACTGACATACCGTCTTCGCTCAGAATCGTTTTTCTTATACAATGATATTGTATCATTGAATTCAAATTTAAAAGCATCCATTATACAGTGACCCACTTGTAACCTACTGTACAGCAGAGCGACATAAACTTACCCACCTTGTTTTTTATTTATTTTGGAATTTAATAGGACCGCTCAACGTGGATAATATATTGTTTTACGAAAAAGCTTTTAGGTGCTTCTTTTGAAGGTGTTATAATGGGTGCTTATCTGTTACCGCATTTATATTATATATATATTTATAGATGTGCGTATCACCAGATACATTATTGTCACGTAAGAAAAAGCACACAAAACCTTATTATATTATGTACGTTCGCAGCAGCGGGAGACTATATGTCTCGTGTTATTCGCAGAAAGAGTTCCGAGAACAAAAGGGACAAAAAGGGACGTCGAGTGAATACATATATATATATACCTATATATTATATAATATTCTCATTTTAGTATAATACTAACGAAAAGGGAAAATGTTTTTGGTTCTTTCGTCTAAGCCTCTTACGTCGTATACTCGACATTAATTATTACTGTATATACGTATATACTGCAGGTATATATCGAGTGACTCTGCGCCACCGCAAGTGTCCGAAAATACGCCCACCTGCTTGGCATTTGTCTGTTTTGAAAAACCGTCTGGCCGCTGGTTTTTCCGTAATAAATTTCAAACGGAACACTATTTCTCCAGAACGGAATACTACTATATTATATCAACGCTAACTAATAATGCGAAAGGTGGGGGAGGGTTCTCGTCGAAGAGACGTATTTTTAATCGCCATGCCATCCGGCGCAGACCGCTAGGAATTTGCGGCGATCTCCCGAATTCCTCAGCCACGTCGTGTATTAATACTTGGACGGGGTCCAACAAGCCTGTGGTAGAAGAGTAAAAAGTTTAACGGCCTCATCGCCGATATCGTGTTATTTTTTGCGCTGAAAGGCGAAAACACGCGCCCGTCATCGTTATATACGCTCACGAAAATATCATAAAATGGACGCGAGCAAACCCGAGCATCTCACAATTTAAATATATCGACAAAAGTAACGGTAAATTCTATGATCGAATGTCCACCCTCGTTTGAACTGCCACCAAGAGAAAAAAGAAAACACTAAAAGAATTCGAAGTACGAGGACAGTGGTGCACTGTACCAACTATATAAAAGTCCAGTTGACACGAAATGAATATTTTAATGAAGCAATTGGATAGATGCATTAAAAATTAAAATTATTCTAACTAAATTTAATAAAAATATGTAAATAGTTTTTTAATAATTGTTATAAAAACAAATTCTACCCCTCCTCTCCCATCAGAGAATATTGAATCTCAACGTCCTAATTCGGGCAATAGGGGAAAATCCTAAATTTAAGGTACCTACTCAGTGGCGTATTTACAATTTTTACGCCCTAGGTACACACATTTTGGAGCCTCCCTTTTTTCTCAGTTTCCTTTTATTTATTGTCACAAAAAACTTTTAAGCCCCCAATAACTTACAATTTACTTTTTTTCTCAATTAATAGTGCAGGGCTTGAAACCGGTATAAACTGTTATAAAAACGAAACCGAGAACAAAATTAAAACCGAAACCGAAAAAAATTGGAAACCAGTGTACAAATGGAAACCAAAATAGAAATATTTTCAATCGGCTTCAAGTCATCTAAAAGTGATAATTGATAACCCAAAATGTATATTTTCCCCTTATTGCATCTATGCTTCCACTAATTTAGAGAACATTTTTACTTTTTCATTAACACTCCATTTATTCCTAATAAAAAGTCAACCTTTATAATTAAATAAACAAACTATAATTTAGATTTTAGCCTTTTAGCCTTTTTTTATGACAATTTAATAAAATACATTATATATATATATATTATATAGAAATATGTATAGAAATGTAAAAGATATTATAAGAAAGATACAGGTATTCACTTATCAGTTATCACTAATATAATTTCTCAATAAATCCAATAAAATAAAAAAATAATTTTGTTATAACCTCCAGAAACGGCTCCCCTTTGAGGACTCAGAATTTAGCACCCCGGGGCAATTGCCCCCCGTCACCCCCCTAAATACGCCACTGTAAGGTACTACCGACTATGGTTTTATTATTTGCCATTTTTCTTTTTGTATGCCCGTATCTAAGTCGATTTGTTTCGAACGTATTTCTTTAGGGGTAAATCCAAGGTCAGGTCATACTGTTGTAAATCGTTGCCGGGTACCAGTCACGAATTCGAGCGCGTCCGTTCACGAGTTCGAGTGAATGCCGTTTGTACGTATAATAATTTAATAAAATATATAATATGTTATATCATAGGTATTGTCGATTCACCACGAGAGGGAGTGGGATACAGATTTTTTTCATTCCTTCTATATTATTCATACGTTGGGCACCGAAAACAGTTTTCTATCATTTCTGATTAAAATGTATTTGTAAATTATATCATATAAAATACAATCATCACTCCGTTCAGAATCTAAAAAAGTATTAAGACAACAGTAATTCCGAAATTTATAAAATCAGTAGCGTTTTATAATGTTACTGCAGTACCGTCAGTACCTTACATAGTCTTTTAATCTCTAACTACCTATTTTCACCCTTGCGGGCAGTACCTACGTCATAATGTAGTGCGTTTAAAATTAAAAAGCAATATTATTAATATTGACGAAACACTACACCGAAAAAGCTCAAAGATATATGAGTAAAAAAAAAAAAAAACGTAAAATATGATAGGTATATACATATACCTATTTATATATTATTATGATATGTATAATCGATTTAAGGTTTCAAATAACTCGGCTCCCTGCATATCATATTCAAATATATTATATTATATGTGTGCACAAACCGTACGTATATAAGTATATTATGAAAACAAAACCAACCGTCTCATACATTTATATTATAATATTATTATTATAAACGGGCATGCGTCGAGAAATCGAACGTACACGATATTTTACTCTACATACTTTCTTTTTATTTGTTATGCATTTTTTTTTCTTTTGAAAATAATAATATTTCCTCGTAGAATATACTGCGTTTAATATAATATTATAAATAGGTAAATACGTGTACGTCGTATGATAATATAATAGTACAACGTGGACACATAGATAGGCAGGTATATTGTGCGTTAAAATAAGATCAAAACAAGCGGATTTATAGGTATAATAGGTAGGTAGGTATATAATATATTATAGTAATAATAGTATGTATGACTTAATTGATTCATTACGCTACTTACTGTGGCACAAAATAATGGCGACGAGTCTTACGTCCATGTTGTACGTGCGGTTTGTAGACGTTTCGATAGCGAATGATTGTGAACGACCCAGGCGCGGACACGAGAAAAAAAAAGAATAATAGTAATAATAATAATAATAATAATAATAATAAAATAACCGGCGCGTTATTATAATGTATTCACCTTCGTTTCGAGAAAACCACTTCTCAGTTCTCCCGCGTACACCACAACCGCGCCGACCATTAATAACGGCTCTGGGCGATACAAACGTGATTTTATTATTGTACATATGCACGTCGCCGGATGCTAATACAATTTTATTCATAACGCCACGACGCTTTTTTTTTTTTTTTACTTAAGCGGCGCCGCCGACATCGATTTCGATAATAATAATAATAATAATAATAATATTGTTGCGTCGTATGGCTGTTGTAGTATAATATAAAAATATACTAAATAATAAACCTACCTATATATAATATAATATAATTAATATATTATATTATTTTTATTATTATTATTATTATTATTATTGTGGTACTCGAACGTCTGAAAGAATTTTCTTGTAATATTTATATACCTAGGTATACTCTATTCGTCGTTTCTTTTGCGCAAGACGAATTTCAAAATTCGAAACCAGCGAGACAAAGAATATAATAATATATAATATAATATATTTAGTTTCATTGTCGTAGGTACGTTCATAGAGGTTCAGGATGATAATAATATTATGAGGTGAAAGGTTATGTACGATGAGAAAGTTGGTATTACGTGATGGATAAAATAAAAGTCCAATTTAAATGTCTTTGTATACAGGACTTTTATTCGGAACATACATTACCATTAAATCTCTGAAATATGATTTTTATTTTTTTTGCGTGTTTTGTCTTATGCACGTACAGCACGAGATAGCCGAACAATAATATAACATTACATAGTAACTAAATACCCGAAGTTTTACAATGGTTTGTTTCATTAAAAAAAAAAAAAAATCACTATGTATAATAATAATAATAATATATAATATATATTATGGTTAAGTTTTGTAGCTTTACAATATATATTTTAATGGATATTAAAAGCGTACAGAATTACAATTTTTAAACCTTCTATCAACAACATTTTTCGTCCTACGTCTGCACTAAATATATATAATAATAAAAAAAAAACTGCTTAAAAATATTATAATTATTTTTTTTTCGTTTTACATATTATACTATAAACATAATAATAATGTTTTTTTTTTTAGTAGGTGGTAAGCTATAGTTCAAATGACAAGTATACGATTTTTTTTTATTTATTCTTAAAGATAAGTTATGGTTGCCTTTGTGAAATCAACTAGAAAAAGCGTTTTGTCTACAATAAGATAAAAACGAATAGCGCGTATTATAATATCGTATAATCGTAATTACCGTAAAGTCATATATAGTATTAAAAACAAGAAAAGAACAAAAAAAAAAAGTAATACAAATTATACATATTCAGCCGAGAAACAAAATATAAACGAAATCAATAAGGCACAACTTACAGAACAAAAAATGTAAAAAAAAAAACAAACAATTGTCTAACTTATAATATCCAATACAATAATAATAAGCTATATAATATAATATGTATCTATTGAAAAAGTGTACAATCAGTTGAAGACGCCGAACAAATAAATACGTATGTATATTTTATAATATATTATATAGACTACTATTTAGGACGACAATTTTATGTTTAAAGGTACCAGCTATTAGTGCTGAGAACGAGATTTTGGTTTTGTAATTTATCTTCCAATCCTTGCCCTAGTTTAATTATACGCATAACACTTACACTTTATTGATAATATTTTTTTTTAACTCATAACAAAACTAAAAATGCAATAACTATTTAAATTTTTTTTTTTCGATTTTTTTCAGTTTTTTACTCCAAACAAAATACTATACATTGAATTTTCTACAGGCAATTTGTTTAAAATGTATACACATATTTAATGGCTCAGCCTCTAAGCATAATTGCACGTAAACCAGCCCGGATTACAATATGTAGAGACGCGGAAGATCAAAAGTTTTTAATTAAGATGATTTTTTAGTTAAGACTTTTGATCAGCCTTGTACTATATATATTATTATAATATATAACAAAACATTTATGAATATCTAATCCAACACTATGCATTGTCAACGATTTTTTTTTTACTTACATAATATTTAATAGTCTAGGCCTATGGTAAATGAACACTCATTTTTTATTATAATAATTATTATTACAAATTGGTTTCATTTTAAGTTTGGGGTGACATTTTTAATTTAGCGTTTAATTTTACCGATCTTTAATCTAAATTTTCAAAAAATTCGCATATATAAATAACTAATAAAACTATCAATAACAATAACAGCTATACATTTTTTAATTTTTAATAATGAGGTTTTTACGCATTCATTATGCGCAAAAATGTTTTTAATTAATTGATTTTTTTTTTATACAGGGACATTGACGCAATGAGTGATTATTATTTAATTTTATTGTAAATACTTTAAAATATTTTAATAGTAAGTGTGTCGTTCGACCCATCCACCTGGATGAGTCCTGAGCCAAAAACGCCGACATTCATCATAAACAAATATGACTACGGCGAAAGGTAAACCGGGAAGCCACCATTCGGCTTTTACGGGATAGGTCTTGAGCACCTCGGTCATACCAGGGCAGTAAGACACAAAACAGGCAGCTAATGTTTCGAATACCATTCCGAAATTCAAAACCCAATTGTCCATACCTTGGTGTAAAATGGAATTGTAACGAGTTTTACAAATAATCAAATCAGCCCATTGCACTACTACGATAGCTATGAAGAAGGCAGTATGGCAGGTATATTCCAGCTCTTTTCTATGCGTAAATGTCCATTCTTGTCCGTATGAGTCTTCTAGGTCGTTCACGGACTTTGAATCCCATTCGTTACGTATGCCAAGTAATCTCGGTGGTAACCATCCGCATTGAGCCATAATGACGAAGTACGAGAAAAATCCAGCAACGGCTTCAATGACTCCGATTTGACCATATGCAACGAAAATGAGTTTACCGTTGACTAATTTGTCGTTCGCTGGGTTCCTGGGATGTCTTAACATAATATCGGATTCCGCCCTTTCGTAAGCCAATGATATAGCCGGCCACATGTCAGTTCCCAAATCAATGCAAAGTACAGCAACAACCCCAAGTGGCAATGGAATACCACTAAGGATAAACAATAAGAACGGTGTTATCTCCGGGACGTTTGACGCCAAAGTGTACGCTATAGATTTTTTTAAGTTGTCGAAAATAAGACGTCCTTCTTCTACTCCAGTCACAATAGATGCAAAATTATCGTCCAATAATATCATGTCAGCAGTTTGTTTGGATACGTCTGAACCCGTTATGCCCATAGCGATACCAATATCTGCTTTTTTCAAAGCCGGCGAATCGTTAACACCGTCACCAGTTACAGCCACGATAGCTCCCAAATTTTGACACCCTTCTACAATGTTTAATTTTTGTGTGGGGGAAGTCCGGGCAAATACAATTTCTCTGTTTGTTCTTAAAACGTGTTCCAGTTCTTCGGTGGACATGTCCCTTAATAATGAACCTTGTATAACGATTGTTGTGGATTCCCGTGGATCTAAAGATGATACCGGTACTCGACGTCGTTTAGCAATATCTTCAAGAGTTTCAGAACCTTCAGTAATGATACCTACAGCCTTTGCAATAGCTTTAGCGGTTACGGGGTGATCGCCGGTGACCATTATAACACGAATACCAGCTGATCGGCATTTTGCGACGGCATCTGGTACACCTGGTCTGGGAGGATCAATCATAGACATCAGACCTAAAAACCTCAAATCGGTCAAAGGGAAATTAGGAGGATCCGTGGTAAAGTTGAAGCCAATTGGAAATTGGTCTGTACTTAAGAAAAGATCACAAAATCCAAGAACACGTTCACCGTAACTTCCTAGTTGTTCAATAATTTCGTCCATTTCTTGTCTGATGTTGTCGTCCAATTCAACTACACCGTCACCATATCGCATTCTAGTACAACGAGCTAAAATCCTTTCTGGGGCCCCTTTCATTACTAACAATTGTCCTTTCGACGGTAATGCATGAATCGAAACTTGGAATTTATCGGAGGAATTGAACGGAATCTCTGCCACCTTTTTATGTTGATCACGGAAAGCCATGACATCCCCGACTGCAAGTTCAGAAAATTTAATTATAGCCGCTTCGGATGCGTCACCCATGACTTCTCTCTTTAAAACTGGTGTATTGTCTTGTCCACATATAAATTCAGCTCTGCTACAAAGACATCCACCTCTAACGAGCGACTGATAAGCTTTGGTGTTCCTAGCCTCTTCCGTTACACCTGTCGGGTCTTTGAAGTAATCCACCTCAATAATTTCCTTATTATAACTTAAATGTGTTACAGTCATACGGTTTTGGGTTAGAGTTCCTGTTTTGTCAGAACAAATAGTAGATGTAGATCCAAGAGTTTCGACTGCTTCGAGATGTTTTACTACACAGTTTTTAGAAGCCATCCGTTTCGCTGTCAAAGATAAACACACAGTCACGGTAGCGAGAAGACCTTCTGGTACGTTAGCGACAATTATTCCAATCAAGAATATAAAAGCATCCAACCAATGGTATCCAAGTAAGAAAGCCATTATGAAAAATGACACTCCTAGGAAAATTGCCCAAGCAGAAATTAAATGCATGAAATGATGAATTTCATTAGCAATTGGTGTGTCTCTTTGTTCCAGCCTTGTAGTCAGTCCAGCAATACGTCCCATCACAGTGTTATCACCACAGAGTATCACAAGAGCTTTTGCAGTTCCTTCGACCGCATTAGTGGAAAAGAACGCCAAATTGTTAGCTTCCAATACTTGCACTTTAGATACAGCTGAGTCCCGAGGTTGTGGTTCAGTTTCTCCAGTTAAAGATGAATTATCCACCTTAAAATTGTGGGCTTCAATAATACGAACATCGGCGGGAACGCGATCGCCGAACTTGACTTCCACAATGTCACCTCTTACCAGTTCTGAGCTTAGTATATTTTTCCGTTCACCGTCTCGCACAACGTTGGCGTATTGTGGTACCATGTTCTTGAATGAATCCATAATTCTCGAACTTTTCGCTTCTTGACTGTAAGCAAAAACACCTGTTATGACACAAACAAGGACTAATACTGTACCCAGCCATAGGTTGTCTTCCTGTGGTTCTTCAGATGTGGAATATTGAATACCATATGCTAGGAAGCACAGGGCCGCACCTGTCCATAATAGGATTGAAAATCCTTCAAACAGGTGCTTCAACAGGATAATCCACGCAGGAGTCCTCTTAGGTGGGGTTAAAGAATTAGGTCCGTCCCTAAGCAATAACCTTTTAGCTTGAGAGGTCGTCAAACCTCTCTCTGGATCCGTCTCATAACGAGTGTATAGCTCCGGTAACGGTATCCGGTGATCATCCAAGTCGATTTCTTTTTTGAGATCGCTCATTTTGGCGGTTTTGGCGTTACCGCTTTCCGCCTCTTTGGAACCCATTTTGGACAGATTATAAGGGACTTTTGTTGTAAAAATACAATTAAAAACTGTTTACGGTTTTAAAAATATTTATAGGAATTCATGGTTATTATTATTATTAATATTATTTTTACAAAATATATAAATACACTAACTAATTGGAATAACGAATTTACGTCAACAACTTATAATACTACTTATAACGATCTTTTCATTTGATTACAAATAGGCGATTCTATCTCTATTCTGTGATCGAGAAAATCGATTACGGCTAAGAGGTTCATTTTTCAAAATATTAAATAATATCACAGACTTAGAATAAAGTGTGACTCCGATTTTCCGAAGTGTGTATGTGTGTGTGCTGTTGTTATTCTGGATCAGCGTGGATCAAGACGTCTTGTCCCGCATGATGATTTTCTGCCCAAAAAAAAAACAAAACAAAAAATAAAATAAAATTGCAATACATTTTAGCTCATTGAGTTTTAAATTAATTGATAAAATTTATACTATTGCTAACATTGGTACCTATTTGAGTTTTCCCCCAATTTATATTTAAATACCCTTGACGGCAATCCAGAACCGCGCTATACAAATACAATCATCGTGCCAAATTTATTTTCTACATTTTTTTTTTTACCCAAAGTTGTTTGATGATTGGATTCAATCACTAAAATATGTTTCAATTATTAGCTACTATAATATTAAAATATGTGTGATAATATATTGTTATAAATGTTATACCGGAAACTTATATGTTTTAGTACATAACTCAAATAAACGTACAATATAGGCAGGTACAATTGAATTGAATTGCTATGACAGTTTCTAATATTACGATGTATTCATTAAAATATTTTTTGAATATCCATTAGCTTGAAGTATAATATAGTAGAAAAAATTATGTTTATTCAATAAAAAGAAAATTATAATTAAATTTGATAAATTTAAATTTAATACAATTTTATTTTAATCAATTATTTAATATCGAAATAAATGTTTTAATTAAGATTATTCAATAGTTTATTCAAATATATCTGTTCGTATTATAAAGATGGACATAATTTAGTGTATGTTTAAAATCATACAGATAGTTGCTTATTATTTAAAACTAATAAAACCAACACTAATTTTATTTATGAACTCTTCGAAGAACCATACAAATTGTTAAATTAAATTTTTTATTTACAATGTTATTTTTACAAAAAAATAATATATTATATACTACGCATTTGTATAAGTTTGTAACTCAAAACAAATTACTACAAATGTTATGTTTTGTTTTATTAAACTTTATAGGTACACTTAAAAGGACGTAAAGTGGAAAACGGAAATTGTTTTTTGTATGATTTGGCTTAAAAATTATTAAGAATCTGCTATACACATATATTTTCATGTTAAGACTGAAATTAACTCAACACGAAGCATTTACAACTTTAGAAATATTTAATCATACGATAAAGTTAAAGTAGCATAATAATTTGTAACATATGGTAACTTTATATTATATGGTGAAAATTAATTGTTTCTCTCGGAGCGATTACATTTTGTTGTTGGCATTCGTTCGTTTTTAAATGCATTTTGCATTTATTCATAAGATCAAACAAATGTTTTGTTATTTAATTCATATTTAAAATAAAAACCTTCAACCAAAGTCTACGTGTAAAATGTCTATGTTCGTTTTTATCAGTACCTATCCAATATTTTAGGCTTTAAATGTTTTAATATTTTCTGCAATATGGAATTGTTTAAGTACAAAAAAAAAATCATCAGAAACTTCCAGATTCTAAATTACGAATGAATTCAATTACGATGAATACTAAATTGGATTAAGTAGTTTGATAAGCTCTAAGACATGACTTTACTACGGATGTAGTACCTGGAAGAGCTGTTTGGTGACCGAATGACCCTGACCTCGCGTTAACGAATTCGATTCATTCAAATCAAATCGTCTCAAGTGCGTGTTTTGCTATTTCTTTTTAGCCACGAATGTCTGAAAAGTTCCGCCCGGAATGGTCAAATAAATAAAAACATAGACTAATAAAAACTATTAACAGAAACGAATCCACCCGTTTTACTGGAATTATTACGTTAACCATATTTTAGGTTAAGACGAATAGTTGGCTCAGCCGCAGTGCGGACCCACACGCCACATTTACCCCCGCGCCTGCCCGCACGCAATTCCGTCACCCACCCATGCGCCAAGCCCCCGTTCGCCGCCGCCGCGACCTATTTCGCCACCCGTTCCGCCACCAGCGCGCTCACCGTTCGATAACAGCACACCGTTTTCACACACACGTCAACTTTGACAATAATCGCCAAATATACAGAAGTGGAAAAAAAAATGTCGACTTTAAGGTTACGTAAAAACAATTGAAAAATAAAACATCGTTAGATCGTTATGCGACGAAAATGAAAAATAAAAACAAAATAACGCATAAACACAAGTGTTACGTGATCACTACGTATAATAATATGTATTATCTTAGCATTACAGTTACATAACGGTGGTAGACGAAAATTATATTCGGCTGTATAACGACCACGCTACTCACCAAGTTTGGTATCCAAATCACGCAAATATTGTAATCCTGGTGACCGCAGAGACGCACTTATATTATTTTTAAATTATTTATATAATATCAACGACGACGACGAATTGAAAAAAAAACACTTAACAAATCGCGAACAAACAAATTTAATAGTTATAACAAAAATTATAATAATGATAATGAAGCCAGACCAGACGCGTATGTGCAGCAGTGGTATAGGACGATCGGTGAGTTTCTTCAGGGAAAGGGACGTGGGTGGGATAAGGCAAGCGAAGAGTTCGCCGAGGAGACACGCGACAGAAGGAATAAAAACGGGAGAAAAAGGAAAAAAGAAAAACCGTCTCTGGTGATGGTCTTAAAATAAAGACAGAAAAATCTGTCCGGTGCGTTAGAGCGGTTACAATAACGCGGGTCCCGCGGCTCACGGCGGCAGCAGCTGAACTCCTCTCAGGCGGCGTTTCGGGCCGGCGGCCGTGTCGGCGGCGGCGGTGGCGCGGGCTTGTAGCGTAAAGTTCTATTCTGGGACGCGCGTGCGCGGCCACCGCCGTGCGACGGGCGGCCAGGAGGGTTTCGGCGTAACGGCGCGGCGGCGTAGTGGCGGCGGCGGTCCTATGGATCCGTCGGGCGTCCAGGCGCCAGGCGCGGTTGCCGTTCCGCACGCCCTCCGCACTCACCCACAGTAACCCGTTCGCCCTCGTCCGTGTCGCCCTCTCGCCCCACACGAGCACCACCCACACCCATCCATCCATCCATCCATCGACCCTTCCACCCTTCCACCCACCAATAAGCCCCCAACTCTCTCGCGCAGGGACCGCTGCGCGAAAAAAACGGTCTCACAGAGATATTTCACGCCGTTGCCATGTGTCTCGGAGGTGCCGGCCGCCGCCGCCGCCTCCACTGTCTCCGGTGGTGCACTCGCTGCGTGTTCGCCACTTATTATTATTACATGACGTTTGCAGAAACCATTATGTGGGACTAACGCATGGAACTGGGGAACGAAAAATGGTGGAGGTGGTAGTGGTGGTAGTGATGGCGATGATGGTGGCAGCAGCAGACAAATCGACCTCGTTTTGACCTATGTCGGCGGCGGTTGTTCGATATTTTTAGTAGAGTATCCGTTGTACGAGAGTCCTTCGTAGCGTCCTCTGTTATTATCATCGGGGTATCAGAAAGCCAATAGGGGTTTTATATACGAACACTACCGGATATCGCCGAGCATGTTAACCTAGGACAACAGAAAACTCGCTTAAAGGCGGACTTTGTTTTCGTGTGTGGTACATATATTAAGCTCATATATGCCCAACGAGTTTAAGGAGTGTGTGAGTATTGCTATAGTCCCCTCAAGTACTTCTGCGATCAAACAATTTTTACAGCTTTCATAAAAAAATCAGAGCTGGCTGGATAGTATATGTATTAGGGGGGATGAGCAGTATTAGTTTGTTACAGTACGTCATCGAAACCTAACCGTTCCCATTTAATTTACGACTATGCTCCTTAATATTATATATTTATATAACATTCCGGGGCCATCTTTAAGGAATCTTATAAACTATGCAACACAATATGCGTTATAACAACTACCATTATAATAAAATAATAGTACCATACACTGTAGGGTTTTGTTTTGTTTTTCGTTATATATAATATATTAAACTCGCTATTCGTTAGTACACAGAATCACTTTAGCCAAAAATTTGTTCCAATCATTATTTTTCCAACTTTGTCTCCATTTAGTCATATCTGTTCACCAATTTCCACAACCGGCCGCGTTAACCATGAAATATTATAATATAATAATCAAAAACAGTGGTTTGTAAATTGTAATGTATAATTATATGGTAATGCGTAATAATTACTCAATGATGAGTGATGAGTGATGACTATTGCAATTTTGAAACTCTTCCTTAGCCGTTTAACAATTTAATTCAATGTTGTATAATATTAATGTATCAGCTGTGTTGCCCGGGGATAAATCAAAAGCGTAATGCCCATCACCTGCGTCGGATAGTAATAACTAAAATAAGTAACTTTTTTCTTACGTGTAGGCGTGTAGCCAATTGCAAGTAAAATAAACGAATATTTTGGTTGTGATTTTAATATCATTACTAGCGAGTAAGCCGCCATAAAATAGCATGTTCAATCTATTATTTAAATCTTCCTGGAATCGTCCAAATCGATCGAGTATTTTTGGATTCTAAAGCTTCAGGCACCTTCAGTCATAAACTTCGTTTTTTATATATAATAACTGAATCTATTATTAGAATATAATTATTATAAATTATTATTATAAATTATTATTATCTATAATTATTTATCTACTATCGTTTCCGGTTTGCTTCAGTTGAAATATTATCAATTGCTTTTTTTTTTTTTCAAAATTGATCGAGTATTTTTTTTAGTATATAAACCTCAACAGTACATTTTGCTCTAATATAGAATTTATAGTAGTTGTTAATCTATTTTTAATTTATA